AAAAGAGATCTGAACAAATGTGGAAACTGCAGAGGCATTACACTGTCAATACCAGGGGACGTCTTTAACAGAGTTTTGCTGAACCAGATGAAAGATGCAGTAGACGCCCAACTTCCAGATCAACAAGCTTTATTCCTTAAGGATCGGTCGTGCACAGACCAAATTGCGACACTACGGATCATCGTCGAACAATCAGTTGAATGGAACTCGTCACTGTACTTCAACTTCATTGATTATGAAAAGACATTTGACAGTGTGGATAGGAGGACGTTATGGAAACTTCTTCGACACTCCGAAGTTCCTGAGAAGATTGTCAACATTATCCGGAACTCATATGACGGACTACAGTGCAAAGTTGTGCATGGAGGACAGCTGGCAGGTGTATTCCAAGTAAGGGCCGGAGTCAGATAAGGCTGTTTACTCTCTCCCTTTCTCTTTCTTCTGGTGGTCGACTGGATTATGAGGACCTTGAAATCTGAAGGAAAACACAGAATACAATAGAAAGCTCTAAATCAATTGGACGATTCGGACTTCGCAGATGACCTAGCCCTCCCATCGCATACACACGAACAGATGCAGACAAAGACAGCCAGTGTGGCAGCAGTCTCTGCATCAGTAGGCCTCAGCATACACAAAGGGAAAACCAAGGTCCTCAAATTCAAAGCGGAGAACAGCAATCCAATCACTCTTGATAGCGAAACTCTGGAAGGTGTAGAATCCTTCACATACCTGGGAAGCATCATCGATGAACAAGGAGGTTCAGATTCAGACGTAAAGGCGAAGATTAGCAAAGCAAGGACAGTATTCCTACAGTTGAAGAACATATGGAACTCAAAACAACCTTCAACCAATATCAAAGTGAGAATCTTCAATACCAACGTCAAGGCAGTTCTACTGTATTGAGCTGAAACTTGAAGAACTACAACAACCACCATCAAGAAGGTGCAAGTATTTATAAATAGCCGTCTACACAAGATTCTCAACATCCATTGGCCGGATACCATCAGCAATAGCCTTCTGTGGGAGAGAACAAATCAGCTTCCAGCTGAAGAAGAAATTAGGAAAAGACGATGGAAATGGATAGGACATACACTACGCGAATCGTCAAACTGCATCACGAGACAAGTCATAACTTGGAATCCTGAAGGAAGGCGGAAAATGGGAAGGCCAAAGGACACATTACGTCGGGAAATAGAAGCAGATATGGAAAGAATATATAGGAACTGGAAGGAGCTGGAATGGATTGCCCAGAACAGGATTGGATGGCAAATGCTGGTGAGTGGCCTATGTTCCTTCACGAGGAGTGACAGACGTAAGTAAGTAAGTAACCATCCAGTTGAGTCCAGAACACCAATAATAGCTTCCGCTATGTGAATTGTTTATTTTAGACGTACTTAGCTTATATATCGGCCAAACAGACGTCATCTCACCATGAACTAAGAAATAACATTTATACAATTTCAGGCCAAAACGTGGCTACGAAAGTGGGTGACAGTAATTAATAAACTAAGTATAATTTAAGTACAGTAAGTCGTATAATAATAATTTATGGGTCAAAATGAAACTTATAGCAAGAGAAATATAGATATACATAATCTAGTCTCTGAACACTTATACAATAGGAATATATATATATATATATATATATATATATATATAATATTAGTCCGGTAATAGATCTCAGAGGTTACTCGTAATGTAATCTTCACTAGGATATAACAAATCCCCTTTCTGAAGCACCAGGGATAATAACGATCCTTGGGATTTATTTCTATTTGGTTAGAGTTACGTCTGATGCGCTGTAATCGCCTTAGGAGTGTTGTATACGTTTTCTTGTTGTCCAGGTCCTTTTTAATTTCACTGTCTGATTCAAGTAATATGTTTAATGGTATATCCTGATTTATATCACTTTCTGTGTCCCACTCTTGTCTGGTTGGCTGCATCTGGTTTGCATGTCGAACCCATATCTCTTACCCAACTTTTACTTCATAGATAACTTTCCCTTTTCTTTGAATTATGACCCCAAACCTCCAGGATTTGTTGATCTTTTTTCATTTCATAATTATCATCGAGGTCTTAAATCAGGTAATTCGATAGCAGCATTTTTCACATTATCTTACAATTAATGCTCGTGTAATGTAAATTAGTACCCCGTGGTACAACTCTATATTCCCGTGATCGGTATAACTACTATAGACTTGTTGAAAACATCTGTCAAACGTTGAAACCATAATGTTTAAATTGAACATTTCCTGTTGAATACTTGCCTTCTGGATTTCGATCTCAACAAGTATAGAAATGTTGTTCTTAACTTCATAGTATTTCGGCTGTCTAGATCTGATAAATAATGGGGATGATTGTGCCAACAAAGAAGGTGTAATGTCAGTTGGTCCTCTATTATTTGATCATATATATTAATCGGTGGTTGGTTGTTATTAACATTTTGCTAAGTGCAGAGTAAAACGATTACTGACATTGTGTTATTTACTGTTCGTTGACAGTTGTTGCTATTTCCTGTATTTTAGGCCTGTGGGATAAAAATATTAAATTTATGACGGTTATTCACAACTGCTTTGGGTTCCTGGGAGACTGGGTAGACATAACGTCTCTAAACCTTATTATTTCCGTCCAACTACAACAAGTACATGGAATGAGATTATCTAGCAAATATACATGTTACGAATTTGGGCCAAAATACACCATATCACCTGAACGGGGTTCATAATAAACGAGGAACTTAATATGAACTTGTTTTGTTGTAACATATGATGGGCTGATTTGTCGGATAAGGTTCCAAGAGTTCTAGCATCAGAGTGCTTGGTAATGCTGTTAGTGCTATTTTAAAACTCCAGACGTGTTCCTAATGAAAAAACAAAAATCTGGTTGTTGTTTAGATCAGTTAAAGGTTGTGATACGGCGATACAGTAAGGTAGAGGGTGACATTAGTGATTAAATACTATAATGTAACGGCACTTTTTTACTGATTCAGCCTCAAAATTAACAAATATGGTTTCGAGTTTCCATGTATTTAAATGGTGAGGCAAAAATCGATGTAGTGCCTTCAGAAATCGAAAGGAGAGTCACCAAAGAAGCATTTTATGGACTGGTTACTCACTCAAAACCTTAAATGTTAGTGTATACATAACACATATTCCAGATGCGTTGACTTGACAATGGCTAGTTGATTGCCCGTCATATGCGTACACCTTCAATAAATATGGTTTCTCAGTAATCTCGTTTGTGAAAAGTTAACATTTTTGAATGTCGTTTTCGAGTCCGGATTGCATTCTTGGGGAGTCATGAAGACCACAAAATGTGATGGAGACCGGCTTTTCATATACTATGATACCACGGGAATTTTGTCATATGTATCGACTAAGTCGAATTCAGAAAAAACTCACTATATATTGTTAGACAAAGTCTATAAAAATCAGGCGTGTGTGGAATAAGATAATGATCGCGTAACCTTACATCATTCAAGACGTGATTGCTACCAAATTGGAGTTTATTGTGGTTTTCGTAGTTGGTGGTATTTAGTAGCGATTTTTATCAGTATTTAAACTAGCGAGCTCTTTTTGCTGCATATGCTCGATCCTCACTTTCCGATAACGGTCTAGTGTGGTGAAAATTATCGTGGTTTAGCTCAGATAAGTTGATTAGTAACTGCGTTATTAGATAAATTTTCAGCTCGATAACTTATCATCAATATGTTGACATGATGAAATTGATTGGTCTTTCCATAAATGTTCACCATAAACGTCACAGGTTGTCATGATGGTCGTAATAGCTGTCGGCTTTACTGCTTGTATCTCTTTGTTTATACATTAGTCGTTGAAAATGAATGGCATAGAGCACCTCGACTGATAATGGTAACGTGCACCAGCAGTTAATTTTGGACGGTTTAAATTTGTAAACGTTCTCTGCTGAGCTCACTTTTTGTCGAATTACTTAATGAAGTTTTCACTGTAGAGCCAGTGAAATGTCACTGGGCCCTAGCTAATTCATTCAGTGGTGGAGTCACTGATTCTCGATGCAGTTCGCCGATCCTCGTTAAGTTCAAGGAAGACCAACACGCACCAACTAATCGTAGGCCATAGACTGACCAATGTGGTTGTGGTCGCAATCTCTTCCTTATACATTTTTTACCAATATTCTTCTGTAATGACGTCCTTTGTATTATACGGTTTTCAGTGCGTTCACAGTACCATGATAAAAAGAAAGGCTAATCCACAAAGGTGCTGACCGTGAGGTGTGATTTTGAAGTTAGCCAAACAATCACACCATCCGCGTCTAACTCGTGTAGGCCCCTACTCATTTTTCGTTAGTGATCTACATTTCCATTATCTTTAAAAATAAACCGATAACTCTCAACATGCGTATGTGATTAAAAAGAGGTAATTTGTTCTATACCAGTGAATCAGTATTTATCGATATAATCACATTTCCGGGGATAATTGTGTACCTCAACTTCTGCATCACAGAAGTACATGGGTACTGGTGCAACGCAGTTCACCATACCGTACAAAATATCACTCTAGAAATTTCGAGGTTTTTCGCCAAGATACATGATTACTTTTTCAGAATGAAAGTCTAGAATCTACAAAATACATTACTTGATCGAATGACCACGACAGATTTTGAAGAAAGGTCTGAGAACCATATTGGAATCGTATGTACTGAACGAGTTTTTCCCTTTGACTTTGATTTCATCGATGAAAAACCTGCAATTTCTTCCCTCGTTTTCGACGAATATGAAAATAAAGGCAATTCTGTTTGATATCAAGGGCTATCTTTTATAGCTCAGAAATGCAATAACGAATAAGTAGTCATCTATTCTGCTCAGCAGAGTTTAAAGTTCATACCGACCTTTTGAATGCGAAGTTTTATTCACGGAATTATAATATAATACCGCATTTTAATGCTGTAAAACCACTTTTATAAGCAAACTGATGAGAATGACTATGCTAGATATATAATGTTTCTCTATTGTTTATTGAAAGCTTCTGGCGGTTAAAGATAGCCGGACGAAGCGCGCCTTACCTCTTTACTCCTGTAGGTTGCTACTTGTGCAGATTGTACGTTATGCAGTTGTTTATGGCTTTGTTATATTGTGTATTGTTGTTTCACTTATTCATATTCAACACAAATTTGATTATCAATGGACTTCCAGACCAAAAATGTTTCATATAAGGGTTGCTTAAAAAACCCTACGGCTATTGTAATTACAATAGCTGTATGGATTTAAATTTTTCATCAGTGACGACCGAAGAATATCTTAAGTGATATGTCTTGCAAATTTCAATTCATTTGTAAAGTGACAGGGACTGTTCACACCATCTAACCTATTTTGTTTGAACCAGTGATCACATCCCTGTCACATATTAGAACAGTTGACCGGCTGATCATAGGTAAAGATATTGATCTAGTGGCTTGTCTTCTAAAAATGGAAATCACATCTGGTTTAGTCTAACTAGAAGGCCTCTTGATAGACAGGTAGCCATTACACATCTAACCATACTCAGATGGCATGCCGTGCTTAGTACATGCAGTCGTGCGTTATTGTTTCCAATCACTAGTGGGTGCTACTATGCCTTTAACAACCACAACCTCAGCATATTTCTCTTCATCAGCATAGCTTTTTAAAATTGTAAAGATTTAGGTGTAAACTGTCCACACATAGTAAAGTATTTATCGCCTGGTATTCTCGTTCGTACTAATTTACAACTTCATCAAAGTTGTTTTTGACAACCCTATGTTAAATGACGTGTTCTGCTTCCAATAAGATAGCATTCTGACTGATGTACCCAATAACCAATGCAGGTCCTTTTGTGACATTTCTATGTGCTTGAATCACTTGTTCATACACATGCGAAAATCGATGCATTTAAGGATGTTTCTAATCTCTGCAATATTTGAAAGTAAGGAATTTTTCATATTGGCCACAAGCGAACTCTATTCATGTTTCTGACGTTAAGATTCGAAATTAGTTATGATGTCGCAATTGGGTATGGCGTTCTCGTTATTTGGACAATCAATTTAAACATTTCGATTGTGTGGCAGCAGTTCCTTCTCAATAACCAGTTACTATATCTGGTTCATTTATGGATTATGGAGTTTCCTTTTTTTTACCTAACTTCTGTTTTATTTCGCTTGATTTAACATGGGCTGCAGATCATTTTTGTTTGAAATTATTTCATAATGTAGTTGTGTTCACCTCATATTAGCCCCGACTATCTTACATGCTACAATGAATTGGGTATCTTATTATTTTTCAAAGGACGTGATTTTCATCACACTTCGGTTTACTTCATACCTAGCTTTAACCATTAATGCTCAAAATCATCAAATAAAGCTTCAACCAACCGTTTGCTGAAAGATATCACTATATGAAGACCAAGTGCTGATAAAAATATTTTTGTAAGTGGTTATTGTCACTCGTATGAATGGAAGTTATGAAAAAAAATTAGCTGACCAATATTTGGTGTAGAACACTCACATTCTCTTAGAAGACTTGCTAAACTGAATCAATTAAAAAAAGTTTTTCAATACATTCCGTGGTCAGATATAATGCCTCTAACTAGCTTCTGTCGATTTATTGTTTCTTTATTTTAACACATATTGGTATAAGGAGGTACCAAATACATATGCGCCACACATCTCACTTGATTTGTGTGAGAGCTATGATACTACCCGGGTGCCCAAACCGAAGCAGATGACCTTCTGAGAAGGCCACACCCAGAGCCTTCGACCTGAAGGTCTAATCCACATGGCAATGGAGCAACTTTAGGAGATGCAGTCCCATGGTAGCCGATGACCAACAATTGGTTCATACGCTCTTTCTTCCTTCAGGATACTGGAGCCCATGTGCACCATTGGTTTGGAATGAGGGTTTTCCAACTCCCCTAGGTGGACTCATCGTGCCAACCTGCCCGGTTAAATTGCCAGACATTTAGTTTTGGTCCTCTAAATTTCATGAACAACACCCCTGCTGCGAGAAGGTAGTGAGTGGGAATTCTGTGGTAGTGGCTGTATACGCGTGGCCATGTAAGAACATTTCGAGAGGGAGAGCGGACTCTCCCCACTCTCGGCCGTCAGTCAGTCAGTCAGTAACAACGTAGAACTTCGTACGTACGTACATCAGTTCGAGTTGCCACACCACCTTAACACAGAGATGCAGTTGTCGATTCAAATCCCATTGTGGTAGAGGTAGCAAGAGTGTAAGCAGTGATCGGGAAGATTAGGGTTTGGAGATGTTATTTAAAGAGTATAATTCAGTGAAATAAATTTGGAAAGAGGGAAAAAGGGACATGAAGAATTCAGAAGATTAAAATTTGGGAGAACACAAAGAGTGGATGCACCTGCGCCATTGCAAACGATTTTGAGCCATGTCGTTCAGGGTCTCTAACCATCGGTTGCTATCATCTCGCGGTCCCCAACCAGGTAGTCTACACCTATCAACATGACTCAGACCACTTGTCAGTGACTTCATGGACTTGTGCCATGTTTTGGTCTGACCGCCCCTAGCTTTCTTCCAACCTACTCCTATACCACTGAACATCGCACGTCGAGGCAGTCGGTCGTTGGGCATACGTAAAACGTGTCCCAGCCATCTCAACTGATGAAGTTTCACTACTTCATCAATTGATTTGCCATCCTTACCTAGTACCCGTTTCCTAACAACTGCATTACTTACTCGATGGTTCCATGATATCCGAGCAATGTTTCGAAGACACCTATGATCGAATACTAGTAACCTACGAATATCCTCTACTCTTACCGGCCATGTTTCACTGCCATAAAGTAGGACGGGACGTACTGCTGCGCAGTAAACCCGTCCTTTGGTTGACAGACGGATATCTCGCCTACGCCATAAATGACGCAAGTTGGCAAACGCTAGTCGAGCCTTCTGTATCCGTGCTGAGATTTCGTCACACACCAGACCACAAGGGCTGATGAGACTTCCAAGATAAGTAAAGCGGTCGACACACTCAACTACTTCACTCTCTATCACTAGTTCGGGTGTCGATGTAACCCAATCCTGAAGCAACATTTTGCATTTCGAGGGAAAGAATCGCATCCCGAACATGCTTGCATTGTTGCTTAGAGTGGTCAGAAAACTCTGCATTTTGTCAGCGTCTTCACCAAATAAAACTATATCATCAGCATATTCTATGTCAACAAGTGAACCTCCCGGTAGAAGTTCAACCCCTGGAAATTTAGATGAGGAGAGTGTTATCTCTAAAAGTACGTCGACCACAAAGTTGAACAAGAATGGAGAGAGTGGACAGCCCTGACGAACACCACTTGATGTAATCAATTCTGATGACAGTTCGCCATAAGCTCTCACTCTACCAGTTGTGTTCGAGTAGAGAGCCTGAATAAGGTTAATGTACTTCTTTGGTACTCCTTTCAGTGACAAACACTGCCATAGAACCTTACGATCAACAGAGTCGAATGCCGCCTTAAGGTCGAGAAATACTGCCATTGTGGGGCGTCTAAACGTGTGTCTGTGTTCTAGAACCTGACGTAGTGTGAATATTTGGTCTATACAACCACGTCCAGGTCGAAAACCAGCCTGATTTTCTCTAGTCTGTTCTTGACGAGCTTTGGTTAGGCGTCGAAGTATTATTGAAGCTAATATTTTAGACACTATATTAGTCAAACTGATTCCTCTGTGATTGTCACAAGAGGACTTTTGTCCTTTCTTATAGACTGGCACAATCAGTGATTGAGACCAGTCAGATGGGATTACGTCCAGTTCCCAAATTCTACCTAAGACCTCGGTTAATCTCATTACTAATACTGGACCACCATCCTTAAAAATCTCAGGAGTAAACCTGTCAGGGTCTGCTGCTCTCCCTCGTTTCAGATTTCTTATGGCTTTTTCAACTTCGTAAAGAGACGGAGGACCTACATTAACTTGCCATTCAGGTTGACTGGGGATCGTGGGAAACCGAAGTGTGGCTGAAGGCCAGTTGAACTGATCCCTGAAGTGTTCTGCCCATCGATCCAATCTCCTGGATTGAGAGTGTATAATATGTCCATCTTTCTCTGAGATTGTTTCGCTAACGGTCGCGTTCCTAATTCCGGTTTCCCTATCAAGTCTGAACAATTGTCTGCTATTATCTATTGCCGCTGCCTTTTTCATCTCTTGCTTTCGCTACCCACCACTGTTCGCGATCGTTGCGTAGACTTCTTGTCAGCTTGCGCTTAAGCTGACTCCGCTCTTCAATATGTTCAGAGCCAGGTGGAATGAGTTTCCGAGCATCTATCAGTGCGATAGATGCTGCTGAGATCCAGTGTTGCTCCCTAACCTTCTGGTTTACCTTACTAGCAGATATCACTGCTGTTTCTACAGCTTTTCGGATATCATTCCATGCTGCCTCGGGGTGGGCATCACATACATGGCTGCCTAACTGTTTTCCTAGTTGTTCCTGAAATATACTCTTAGCTTGACTATCATTAAGTAGGCCCCTAAAAGGTTTCCTTGCAGCATCTTTCCTACGTCCAGTAAGACGCAAGCAAATACGCGCTCGCACTAGAGCATGATCTGAATCTAAGCATGTGCTCCAGAATGAGCGACAGTCTTCTATCGAGCCCCTCCATCGGTGGCTGATGGCGATGTGATCTATTTGGGTCCAACGTTGGGACGAATTAGGGGGTCGCCATGTTAAAAGATGTTTTTTCTTCTTATGCTTAAAGTTAGTATTTGCAAGGAACAGGCGATTATCTGAGCATAGCTGCAACAGACGGTCGCCATTATCTGTTCTTTGAGCCACGACAACATAAGATCCACCTAGGTGTCTTTCCCTATCGCTTAGTTTACCTACTTGAGCATTGAAGTCACCGGCCACTATTACTACATCATAACGCCTAGCTTTTCGGAGAAGGTCGGAAAGCTTTCTGTAAAACTCATCTTTTACATCATCTGAGCTGCAGTCAGTGGGAGAATAGGCAGGGACGACAAAGAGGCAACGACGAGTGTCCCTATATTTCCGAGTCCTTATTGTTCCGTTCAGTCGGACAGCGCACAAACGGCTGTCTACTGGGATCCACTCTAAGAGAGCTAATTCTGCCCTAGGGCTCAATGCTATACCTACGCCGGCGAGTCCACGGGAAGCAGAATCAGGGCTTCCAGATACACGAAGCGTAAATCGAGTCGGTTCTTTATTTTGGCATGGTAAAGTCAAATGAATGACGCTACTCGGATTTTGTATGCGCGTTTCGGAGACGCAGCACACATCGATGGCGCGTGATTCTGAAGTCCTAGCTAAGGAAGCCTGCTGTCCTATTTGGCACAGTGTTTGGACGTTAAAAGCTCCTACGTGTAGTTTAGAGCGTGGTTTCAGGAGACCAGGAATCGAGTTCCACGTACTCGAATCGTTCGCCCTAGCGGTGCGATGTGATAAAGAGACATGAGGAGGGTTAGTCATGGAGATAAGAGAGGTATTAGGAGATGTAGGAAGGATTTGAATGTGACCAACTTGGTCTCGTGTGCTGTTACGGGTATGAGGGCTGATGTCACTTCCCGGCTGCCCACACTGTGGAAGGGTATTTCTTGAGGAACCTGAAAAGGAAATTGGATTAGTGTTGGTCTTGACGACCTGGGAGCGTGACCGCAGAGCCCAAGGGACAACTGCTTGTGGCCGGTCGCGCACGGCCTTTTTGTGGAAGGTTTTTGACGTGTTAGCTCCGTTCTTCAAAGGGCCTTACCACCGGAGACGGAAATCCGTGAGGTAAGGTGAGGTGTGACATTTTTAGGGTCGACCTCTTCTAACCACACCCCTCCTTGTGGGAAGGCAGCATCGCTGTCATGCTGGTTGTCTGAGGGAAAAACCTTACTGCTGTCAAACCTCTCTACAGTCAACAGTACGACTTCGCCCTCAGACATTGTGTTGCTGCTTTTAGTCTTACCGTTCACCAATCGACCTGCCTTGCATGGTAAAACCTACAGGAACATATGTTCCGGTCAATATAGCTCGGTTGGGTCATCACGATAGGCAAGCCCGACCACCGCGTCAAGGTAGCAGCTTCGGTCGTACCAGAGCATTTTCACTGGAATTGTGTTTAAATCTTTTTCTAGGAGTGATTTTTACCGTTTTCTGTTGCTCATAAGATAAACACCGGATCCAAAGATTTGTTGTGCTGCATTTACGTACATTTCTATCATTTTATCTACATCTTACTAGTCTTATACAGTTCATTTTTTGTATTATGATATGAGGGATATAATCACATCAGTTCTCAGTAAACTCATACGCACCTGTTAGCTCAAGTGGTGTGTTGGTTGCTCCAAAATCATAAACAGGTGTCATTCAAAAAGAAACCATGTCTTTGTATTCAGTGCGTGAATATAACTCATTAGTTTAATTTGCGATACTGAATTTCATTTCTCTGCGCTTAGTTAGATTACCACTATCGTTTTTCATGATTTCGTAGATGAATTTATGTGACCACTCCTGTAAATGGTTTCCACTGTCATACATTTTTGTAAACATAAAGTTATCCGAGTGATACACAATTTTAACACAGCTTCAAGTTCATAAGATCACAACAACCACTATTTTCCGTTTTTCGGAGTACTTTTAAAGTGTTGGGGAACTTCAGATGGGCAGAATATCATTTATATCCTATAAGTCTTTTGTGGTGCTATATCTTTTGGGTATTCATTATTCAGTTATCTATAATTTATCTCAATGACCCTTTATAGTGTAAGGACTATTTTTCGAAATGCAGTGTTTCTAACGGCTCGTGATTGATTTTTGTTCCAGCTCACACTCATTCCCTTCCTTTTTGGTATGAGTTATGCTATGGAACCGCCAGCAATGAGCACTTTTTTATCAGACAACGAAACAGTTGGAGAATCAACTAACCTTTTGCATCTTGAAGGTCATAGTTGGAGCCAGCTGCAAGATGGGACTATTGAGATAACCGACCGACTGCCTAAGAAAGAATACTACATGAGTCTTCGGAGGTTCAACAGCACTGGTCCTAATTCTGGAACTGCACACAGGTTGGGAAGTATTTCCAGTGGTTCAGCTGCTGGATTAGCCAATGGATCATCTGGTTTACTAGGTGGTAACTCATCTTCACCGCGCCCAGGTGGTGGTACTTTACGTGGAACGTCACACCCATCGGTTGTTGATTTTAAACCTTCTGGTAAAATAGTAGATTGTACGGTTGTAATGCTGGATGGTACAACAAGAGAGTTTCGTTTAGATGTAAGTTGCAGTTAATATAGTTATTGGTTCTATGGACTACTGTTCCCATTTCAAACTGTCAGTATGAATGTCCTAAGTGCCTTTTAACTGTTTGTTTAAATTTATGTTGTGTTGATAGTCTTAAGAATAATCAACATAAAGTTTCCATACTGAGATGTGGCGCATGTTATATTCTTGTGTACCGTCAATTTCGAAATTTTACGATATTCCTACTATTTTTCCCCAAATATATCAGATATTAGGTTTGAAAGCTAGAGATGTTTTATATTATTGATATTTTTGTACTGCTAAGGATCCCCACTTTAGGTCACCAAAGAATACATATAAATGTAGGGGTGATTGTGAAGAGAAGAGGGAGGGGTCATAGAGCCCATAAATAAATAAACGAGAATAGTATTTAAATACAGACGCGGTTGAGTTAGAAATATAGCCAAAGAGAATGTCATGCGTCTAAGGTAGTGCAACTTAATGAAGAAAGTGATAGGAAACTATGGCAAGAGTGCCACTGGGTTTTTTCCAAAGTTTGTCTGGTAGCGTTTCAAGACAGAGTTGCATGGTATTTAGGACTCCAAGCTAAAAGGCACGATGAACCGGCCGATCCTACACAGTTATTTTTCATATCACTGACTACTTACATACAATCCTAGCGTTTGAAAATAATGTACAGGGTGAAGCTGCTGCGGAAACATTTGTAAAATATGTACAAACCATCGAACATAATGACACCAAATTGAATAATTGACATTATGCTTGAACATACTACTGTATCTCAGAATTGCTAACATAGTATTCCCACCAAATTTGAGCAACCTTTCGGAAGCAACGATTAAATTCACAGTGACAATTGTTCTTCACGCACAGATTAAATTAAAACGTTCATCTCCCCACAACGCGATACCTGACCATCTGACTAGGTTTATTTAGCATTCTGTATAAGTAAATTTGTCCTATGGGAAAGTAACTATGAACAGCTGATGGTTAATAGTATTTCAGTCAGTAATATGTAATGTTCCTGGTTCTACGTTGCATATAACTGACTGATTACACACCTAAAGTCGTTACATGTCTGTTTCTAACAAACAAACACGTATTCGTATTGCCATTCAAAAAACATAAATCTTCGTGACCAACATCAAACATATAGGACGGTTTAGTTCTTACACATTGTTAAAGTGTTTTTCAAAAAGATTCGGAATAATCTTTTCTTTTTACGAATAATTTTCAACAAAACCTTTTCGAATCTTAGATGATTGTGTCTGTTAAACCCTAAAATTAAACTGCTCCCGTTTTCCTAGTCTTACGACACCACCTAAAGTATTGAAATGATTATCTCAAAAAACAAATTACTAATTTGCATCATATTTTGCTTTTGATGTAACTACACGGATGTTTTATGTTGTAGTGGTTCTCATTTAGCCAGAAAGTACTTTGTGTACTAGGGGACCATCGGTGTATCGTGAATAAGGAGATCTGGAAAAGAGGAAGTGGTCCAACGATTCAGTCAGCACACAGAATACACCTACATTTTAATAAGAAAAGCAATAGACAATTATCCTCAATAACTTAAGCCTCGGATTAGGATAATCTTGGGATCAAAACTACAGGCAAATAGTTTAGCCTGTTATAGTGTGCATAAAGTAATGTTCGTTTAGTTTTCATGCCTTAGCTCAATAAATGATAACAAATCTACATCTTTAAACATATAACAGCTCATAACATTAGAGTGAATTAAGCCTATACAATTTCCATATATTCTTTGAAAATCTTAAAATACATTAATAAAGCATAACTTATTAACATTGTGGACTAGTTATTCATAACTTAAAACACTTGTTTTTTATAGTTAAGGTGAATAATATATATAAGTATGTATATGTGAATAAATGTACATTAACTAAATTCGAGTTCAATATCCATCTTCCTGAAATACTCGTCAACATTTTTCTGGTTTTAGAAAGCTGCCTATGGACAACAATTATTCGATGCTGTTTGTACACATCTTGGTTTATTAGAGGTTGAATTCTTTGGCATCACATATTACGATTCAACCAATAACTGGGTGAGTGTTTTTCTAAATATTCATCTAGTTGTTCTACTTACTATTGTGTCAAAATCTTTAAGTTACTAATGTTCGACATTATAGAGGTGACTCTCAGTGGTGTTTAGCATCTAATTCACATTCAGTTATTCACAGGTTCAGACTTCCCTTCACCATGTTAGGTCTGACCATTTGGGTAGTATGGTAATAAGCTTGTTTCATAGACTCGTTCGCAAATAGTGTATTTGATTGTTAAAATGCTTTTTTTGATACCATAAAACCGAAATTAAATCTTGACAAAAAAACATGTATAGATTGGCCTATCAGTTCCTTAAGTTTTTTAATCAAGCTCCAGTGCTTATGAAGTCATCACAATTATTTAGCTTTATTTTCTTAGAATTTTGGATTACCTACACATCCAATAAATCTCCTTCCCTTGCTTCTGAAATTTTGTTTTATTCTTTTTATCATCATGTTTTCACTAACCTCATCCTTCTCCTTTGCAACCAATGCTATTGATTTAACCTTATAGAATGACATCTCTATTCTCATGAAACTAGTCTCCAAACTAAATGTTGAAGATTTCAGTCTCTTATCTCCTGCGTAAAATCAGTGTCTGTTATAGGAAGATTTATTAAGGAAATACATCAATTAATTGAACACTCACTGCTAGACAAAATGCCATTGGGAACCCATCTACATTAGACATATGTAACATTTGTCATAACCATCCGCTTGACCTATTTTTACTTGTACTTGTCACGTTATTGCTGTCAGACTTAACGTTTTACTACTGCTGTAACCTTGTCATCGACTTTGATTTTGGGAACATAACAGATCTATTTAGGGAGACCGTTAAAAAAATACATTCTAAAGTAGTTCCATGATAACACGTCATTATTTATTTATTTTACTGCGAAGTGTTATTTAAAAACTAGTGACAGAACTACGACAATCCCTAATTTACAATCCAAGATGAAGTTTTTGAAAACATTTAACAGTTTATACAAGTTAATTCATCATTTCTGATTTGAATTGTTGACTGGAAGTTTAGAGTTCACTAACCACTCCAAAGATTATTTGCAATTATCATAGGCATGAGGGAGATAGAAAAAATGTCAATTAATCATACTACGTTCTCCTGTCTTTGAACTAGGAACAATACTTTAGCATAATTCAAAATCACTCTTATTCAGCAGTTAAACAGCATATTTGTATGAACTCAGTGAACAAAAAACCCAACAGATTTAGTCGTTTTATAAATTCAATACGTACATACACAGTAGTGATATGATCACTTATTTTAAAATCATATACCTGAAGACTTTTGGTTTGTGAAAAAAACTAAAATTGAGATGCAATAAATTTCAAAAATTTTATGCCCTGTATGTATTTTGTATTTGAGTTGATTATGTTTGTTGAGTGCATCATCTTGTCATTGATTAAACTACAAGGTGAACTGAGAATAAGAACACGTTTTTAAATGGTGAACATAGTTTACCGATATATATATATATATATATATATATATATATATATATATATGCTAAGTTCTGAGAGTAAAATACTAATTAACACTTCAAATATAACTTTCCAACACACCTCCATTGGATGATGATAACCCTCGTAGAACTCATCCAAATAAATAAATCTTTCATTAAAGGGATAGATAGTCAATCAGTCAAGCCTTATCACTGTAGAAACTTTCACGAGTAATATTGGATAAAGCGATCAAAGTTCCCCCTTTCAACACAAGATTAAAAAAGATTAATATTAATTAGAATGAAAATTCGTACTTGTAGTATAACAGCTCAAGAAAACATTGACGTGAATTCGAACAATGAAGTATTGGAAATTGACATCTAACCGTAAATTTAAAGAGAAATAATCAAGTGAATCCCATCTTGCTGAGTGTCACGTAGTTCAGTTTTGCGTCGTTATATTACCCAAAAGGCACCCAAACAAACCGTTTTGTGTCTAAATTAGATAGAACATAAAGGAAAGCCTTTCTCTGAAGTAGATCTATCAGTCAACACCAGAAAATGCTCTTTGGCCATTAGCTTAAAAAAACCATTTAAGTTTTTCTTAAAACAAGCAAATTTATTTAACACGAAAAACTGATTTCCTGTAGGTGCTTTTGATAGGTTATCAAATGTATAAGTAGTAATTCATAACATAAAACTTACGTATATTATAGGGTATTTTTACTCGACATGAGATGATATCGCGATCAGATCGATTTCGTTGAAATCACGAGCCGATCTAAGTTACACAATCATTGAAAACCTGAAATAACTGGATGACCGTTTTTAATCCAGAGCTCCGTTCAACAATCAACCTTGTGCATGATGGGTCCAACTATTTACGAACCTTCATTTTTTTAACCATTGCTTAATTAACCCCTATCTTTCCACGACTACCATCTCATCATTTCTATTCTCCTATTTTTTTATTGTCATTATCTAGTTCTGGCTTCAAATTGATCAGAAAATTGCAAAACAAATCGGTAGTAAGTTACCATATATTTTGTCAATATTGCCGTCATCCTTTGAAGAGGTTCTGTGGGGATTACTTTTCGTTACCAATTGGTGTCAGTTAAGTGTACTATAGCGGGGTCGTTATCACACAGCTAACGTGTCTCATACCTGGGCGAAACATGTCCGACGGTATTTATTTTCTTTTACTGTTACCTCAAGTGCTGTCAGTTTGATGTCGAAAAGTTATCTTCAAAAAATATATGAATTATTCATCATAAACAACTCATCTCATTAGTTCTCTTCTACAATTAAACATATCTGAATTGGCTGTACTTTAAACTCTGTTTATTCATTCGCGTAGGTTACCACCATTCTATTTTCCTGACATATCAACGGAGCATATACACTACTGTCTCTATACTGGAGTAGTATTCAAAAAATAATTTTATTTTCTCATTTCTGTTTCGTATTTAAATGTACTTTAATCAATTTATTTTCATATTCTGTTGTCCCATGTTAAGCAATTTTAATTAGTTGACAGAAAACTATGAACCTGTTTCATACTAGTCGCCACTTACTATTAGCAAGGCGCACATATAATCTTGAGGGTAATGATAATCGTGCTGTTTGAATATGCACTAATTTGTTTCACAGTCTGAGACATTACCACTGAGCTATCTGGTCACGACTGATCTTCTGTAGGACTGACATATATTTATAGTTGATTAATCACCTAGTAGTGACCAGCGTCATATATGTCAAGTTCTTAGTTCTAATCAGATTTTATCGCTCAAGTTGAAATGTGGTCACTAGTCTTAAATAACTCTACATCACATGTGCTATGTTCATGTGTAAGGTGGTTGGAGACAGTCGCCAGGGGATTCTGGACTTAGACTTCGTGTCATTTGGGACTTATCATCAAGATATACCTGTAATCCTGGAAGAACTGGTGCTCCGTAGTAGATTCGATCATATGTCACCAAGCTTCATAGACAGAGATTTTACCACTGATCTCTTCGGGCCTCAACTTATCTCTCAAAGAACGGAGATTTATTCGCAATATTGTATACATACTCTTAGAAAATGCCGGTAATATAAAAATTCTCCCTATAGAATAAAGTGCAGAACTATTTTCTTAATCCAATTTCACAGTTGAATGAAACACAAAGTCTTTAGGAATAGTGGTTATTATTTTCCGCTAATAATTTATGTACTAACTGGTTGAAAGAAACGGTGTGATTTAATAAATGATAATAACCTAATTGTTTGATATATTATTTGGTCTTTCTTGACTAGCGAACAGATGATGTCTAGTGAACATAAATCTGTAGATAAAGAAAATGATCATGGTGTTGTTGGTTAATGTTGTTATTAGCACTGACCGCAGATCTTTTTATTGTTCAATAAGCTCTCAATCGCTTCCAATGTTGAAAAAAAAACCGATGTCATAAAAGAGATGATAAAGTATTAAATTAATTAGGAAAATATCGTATAGTTAGTTACTGGAACACATGCCTTGAACTATTTCACCTGTAAAGTAAACGTGTATAATGATGAATATATAGCTCTAAAACAATTGTTGCCTTCGATAAATCAACACCATGTGAATCGTCAGTTATCCTATTAATAATAATGTTATTATTGTTACTATTATTATCAATTACTTTACTGTCCAACATAAAATAATGTTAGTTTCATTAGTTAAATAATAACAAAAATAATTATTTGTCGAGATTGGTTTTCTAAACTGTTGGCTTTGACAACCATAGACTAGGGTATATTTTACTCTGGTTGTCCCACCGATCCACACTAATCAAATAGGAGGAAGGTTTCAAGAGTTTCATCATTTTGAACTCGTTCAATTTTTGTTATAACTTAGTCCTAATGATTTTATAAAATTTCTAGTGAGACATATTAGTTAAAACCACCCACAATGGCTGGAATCATTGTTTTTCATTGTCGTCTTTTGCATTATAAATACTTTGTTAGTCCCTCTTCTGTTGATCCTCTAGTAGTGAATTGCACCGAAAAACCTGAAATTATTTGTGTTGTTCTGATATATTTAAATTTCTATGTAAATGAATTATTTTCGATTGGCTTAGATTACATTATCATAATTCTGTCATTATATAGAAAATGAATGGCAGTTTGAATTTCAAGTTAAATTCTATCCATGTGATATCGACTCAATCAAAGAAGATATAACACGTTACTATCTTTGTTTACAAGTACGGCAGGATATAGTTAGTGGACAGTAAGTAAAGTGATAATGTGTTTATTCGTTTGGTTATTATTATTATTATTATTATTATTATTATTATTATTATTATTATTATTATTATTATTATATGCGAATATTGTAGCTGGCAGAGCTATGAATATCTAAGCTAATAGGGTACGGCGACTTGAACCGATGTACATATGTGCCAGTTTCCACATTGTGAATTACGGATTTAATCAAGTTTCAATTATTTCATTTAACTGGACTAATCTTTTCCCGTTTTTGATTCACATTTTCTCGCAAATAATAATTAAAGATCCCTCAAGAAATACGTGTTCAGTCATAAAATTAAAAATGCAAACTCATGTCTCTATTTAAATTTTTGGAATTGTAAATATTGTAGTACATTTCCTTAATTTCAAAATACCTTAAATGAAGTTGTTACTGAAGTGTATAACTATTTATAAATCACTTTCTTTTGGCAGGAAATAGCTTGGATTAAACTATGTTCCATGCGGGATTATGTTGGAGCATGTTGTTTAACCTATTCTTAGCCAATCAGCACCAGTGAATAATTGAAGATTCTAGAATCTCGTGTAAATTTATAAATGTACCAACGTTTTTCCTATTGCGCTTCAGTCCCATTCAACTTGTGTAACCTGGGATATAATTAATTACCCGCTCAAACCATGTTCTGATTTTGGGTACTTATTTAGTAAAGTGTCTAAAAAAATACTAAGCAATCAGGGTTGCTGGGTTGGATAATAATAGATCTAACTCCCTCATTAGTCAATATTCGCTACATTTGTTATGTGGTTGATTATGTTATAGAGAAATGTGAGGTCCCAGCGTTAGCGTTATGGCTTATTGATATCTATACGCGGATTTTGGCATATTCACTCTTTACTTGGATCTTGAGTTTTAAAATTATTGACCCATACTGCCTTGATTGGTTTACATTTTCGTATAAATATTCATGTATATTAGAGTAAAGCCTGATGACGATCTAATTGAAAACAATTGTTCGCTTATATGTGTTCTAGTTTTAAGATTATCGTATACTTTTTTCTTCTGCGGATCTTTTGTTTGTCGAGCTGAATTATCTATGCCTAGTCTCTTTAACTTCCACTAATATTGTTATTGCTTCTAATACAACGGTATATGTCTTAATATTTCCATCTTGTTGCTCTGATATGTGTCAACTTAAATTAATATACATTTATTCAAGTTTATATATAACTTATGGACTGACTGCTCATTTTCGTCTACTACGCGGTATGAATGAGAGTTATAAGTTCTTTTCATAGGAAAATTTCGAACAGTTTACACGACTCTACTCCACTCTGTTTAATGAAGTTCGAACCAAGTTTGACTAAATTAGCGAATTTTCAAGTAAGCTGCTCATTGACTTTTAGATGTTATTACAATTAAAGAAACGTTATTACACCAATTGTGGCTTTTTTCAGAAGTATGATATCATCATGTTAACGTAGTGATAATAATGTAACATTGAAGATGGAACAAAAATATATTATTAATAAATTTAACAATGGATGCATGCAATCCATACTTTCTCGAATTGTCATATTTCAAATCCAGCTGTTATCTAATTCAATAATATGTTACTGAAGTATCTAAAAGTTATGAGATACGTGAAGTAGTAATTAACTGGTTATGATGTTTGAACTCCAGTTACTGAGTTTTGGGTTCGAACCCTCCTCTACCTATTTCAATTAAGCCAGCCGGCTAGTATCACTAGCCCTCACACTTATAATATGGTTTAAAGTATTCGAATCTAGTACTTGGTAAATGGGTATTTAATTCGCCGTCAGCTGTGCTAACATTAATAATCAGTTCAATGATATAATCTCTTAATCGCGTAGCCAACATTCATAAATATCTCCATATTCATTTAGCCACTAGATGTCACATCATTGGAATGACGTAATGTTGCTTTATAGATGATTACACTTCCAAAATTGTTATGTTACTCAGCTAATCTGTTTAACCCTTCAATAAATCAGACATGAAAACGAAAGCTGGGAATAACTGGAGAGAAGTATGAAAAGTAGTTTTTAGCAGCTTGTTCTTTTAAAACCATAGTTACTATAGAATAATTTATTTTCAATAGTGTTAACAAATTCAGTTGTAAATGTTAGTTACTCATTGCAGTGTTTCCTTCAATCTCAATAATTTTACTGGTTGAAATTACTTTACAGAAAAAAATACCCGGTTAGTAAGCCTAAATCCGAACTCATAGTAATGTCCGTACTTTGCTTTTATCGCCATTATTATTGTTATTATCGTTATTTCTAGAAGGTTGAGAAAATCAATCGACCCATAATTGACTCAATTGTTATTTTGACTTCCTTGACGAAGGTATGGGTGTTATGACCTTGAATGTCTGGCTTTGCTATCACGCGATTTATCGACCAATCAGAATACGACTTATACGATTTCGCACTATGCCAACCAATGACGTTCAACCGGTATGAACAGTTTAGCGTCCTTATTGGTCCTATGTCCTCCTACCCCTTCCACTTGAGTCCAGAACACAACACCAGCTTCCGTGATATGAATCGAATCAGAGCAGATCAGATCGGATCGTTTGTTTCAGACATACTCGGTTTATATATCAATCAGACAGACCACAACGTACCATAAAATAGAAAATAACATGTGTACACAAATAAGCCAAAAAGTGGCTGTGAACGAGGGGGACAGTGAATAATAGACTGAGCATAGCTTAAGAACCGTAAATCGTACAATAATAAATTATAGGTCAAAATAAAGGTTGTGATAAGAGGAATATAAATATACATAATCTAATTATTCATTAGTTTTACAATAAGAATATTTATAGAATATTAGTCCATTAGTAGTCCTCGGGAGTTACCTGTAATTTAATCTTCACTGGGTTATAACAATGGGTCTTTTTATGGGTACTTTTTGATGTGCTGGCTTTGTCCTTCAAAGGTCTCACCGTCAATAACGAAAATCTGTGAAAAAAGAAGTCTGGGATTTTCACCATTAACCTTTTTATCCCCTCTTCTCGCTGTGTTAGGCAGCGTCGCTGAAGATCCTGGTCGTCTGACTGACACATCTTACTGTCGTCACAACCCCAGCCCAGTCGATAGCACGACTTTTCTGTCTGACCTTAGTTTTGGTACTTTTAGTATTACTATATTCTAGCCCACCAATCCGATATGGAACAACCTAAAGTAACGAATAGTCCAGCTATTATATTTCCATTGAGTCATCATAATATGAAAATCTGACCTCCATATCAACGTCTCAGTTAATCCATGGAATTATTAGATAGTGATGTACATATTGTTTGGTGTTTGACAAAAGTCAAATACACACAAAGTAAACCCATTTTTACTTGATCAGAATAAAACAAATTAATAACTTTTTAATTTTCTGAGGATTACTCAATGACTAGAGATTATTTGTGAAATCTTTACTCTTCCATATAAGTACAGATCGATATATGTTAGACCACTATCTAAAACCTGGGAGCATTGGACAACTGTTTCGTTCTATTATGAGACTCAGCAGTGAGCATCCACGAATTCGCACCCGGTCTCACTCTTAATCGCTTAAACTCTAGGATATTCAGCTTAGATCGGTTCATGATTTGAATGTAATCCAACTATCTCCACAACTCCCAGACTGACATTCATCTTATCTCTTTAGCTTAGTGAAACGATACCTCATTAGGTTACTACAATATTTAAATTCAGATGACGATGAGTAGCAGGTTGGAACCACTATTCACTCATTTCAATTTGAGCAACTGTATAGTATCAATAGTCTTAATTAAAATTCGTGATACAAATTGTTTAAGTGTATCAACATTTCTTGGTTAGCTATTTGCATTCCAATTGTTAATTATTAGAAAAATTAACTAATTTACCAAGCGCATATTGGTATTCTCGGCGTTGAGATCCTTTTCTTAAAGGATATATATACTAACCAGCTGCCTTTTAACCGAATGACCTTTGGGGCGGCTTAATCATTGAACTGCTATGCCACTGCTCTATATTGACAATTATTTGTACACTACCAAAATATGTAAGTTATCATCATATTGGTCTTCATGAGAACTAGACATTCACCAGATATATCTAAATAGCATAGATTGATCTTGTGCAACTCAGTTATAAGAACACTGATGCACTCTCCTGAAAGTGATATACTGTTAGTGTCCTTTTTAAACCTTTTTTCGTCTACACATAATTTCATTTTCACTTTTATGGAGGAAATATTTTGTTTCAAGTAAATTAAAGGCTTTTTTCATCTTTTTTATGAAATTCTTAGAAGAAAAAAAACCTTGCTCTGTTTTTCATGAAAAGGCATTTTCAAAATTAGTTGGAAGTTCTTTCTTATTTTGTCGTTGGAATTCTGACGTTTGCGTTCTTTGTCTGTTTACAAACAGAAATTATTTCTGTCGTTAAAACTTATTTAATTTATGGTTATTTTCATTGAATGAAATGTTTATTGTGTACCACTGTGTAGTTTCGTTTTTATATGAAGAATTATCACTCATATCGGTTTTGTCTAAGTAAACTTATTTTTTAATAGTTTTTGTGTCACATAGTGATGGGCTGAACGGATGCTAACTATCTTCTCTCCCAAACCGTCACTGTACATTCCGACATATATGCAACTTCACGCAGTCACTTATCGTTGTAAATCGTCAGAAATATGCACCGGTCCAAATTATCATATCTCATTGGCACGGCAAAATGAACTTATCAATATGTTACAGTAAAATAGACAAATAATTTAGTGGCAATGAAACCTTAAAAGACTAAGCATTAGATCACGTTTCGAAAAGACACTGAAAAGGTATTTATGAAAGAATACTGGATTTCACGATCAAGATAACTGACAAGTAGTGTATGCATCTGCTCCATTTTAAATAATCCTAAGTCACATCAGCCACCATCCCTAACCAGTAATCGCAATCATCTTGTGTACTATAACAACTAGGCAGTTTGCATCTACCTACATGACCCTGACGAACAGTCAATTGTTTCATGAACTAAAACCATATATTGCTCTACCTGTTCCTACCTTTTCTACAACCTACTCTAACATCAATAAATAACGATTGTCGAGGTAAGCGGTGACACATATAACTTGACACTGTATGACTTTGTTTGGTGTATCGTTGCTGAAAATAACTGGAATAACCAAGATCCTTGGCCAAACAGTTAAGATCATTCTCTATCACTTGATCAAAAACATTTTTATTATTCGCCTTCTCAGAGAAGCCTGAATTTACAAATGTGTTGATGTCTTAGACAATTTTTGCTCGTTTAGTTGTCTGTCTTATCTCAATGACGAAACGTTTGATATCGGTTAGAATTTTGATATAAACGTTAGGCAGGAACATACGGGCTTATTGTCACTCGTCATTTTTGAATATACATAGTTGTCATGGGATTTTCTCAGAGTTTGTTAAGCGGTATATACGTACATATTTACTCATCTGCTGTCGTTGGTGTTTGAATAAATGAGCAAATCTTATAAAATCACTGGAACGTTGCTAGCTGAGGAATTTAAGGTCCGTTTCATCCTATTAGCAGCTCATCAGCCAGATGTACCTAAGTCTCCCGGTCCAGTGCTTTTCTCTTCGAACACTGATTATTTTAAGAATGATGGAAAACGGTGAAATAAACGAACATTTTTGCAGAAGAAGGGCAATAAAAATTTTCATAATTAAAATAACATTACGACAATAAATACGTCTTTAAGTTAACCTAAATAATCAATCCGTTTTCGTTATACATAAATTAACTTTAATTTTTTAGATCGTAGTTAGGGTTCCTGTTTTTTGTATTTGAGATAAAAAGCTTACCAATTTTATCTATCATTTACTATTTTTTTTCTCTGTACGCTTCTACATTAGTTCTTAACATCCTTTTTGTTTTTGGTATAAGATTCATGTAGGAGATTGTTAAATTTCCATCATTTACATCACGGGATAATCCTAGTCAAATGACCATTAAAGACTAGGAAGCATCGGACAGATGTTTCGTCCTAATACGAAACTCCTTAGCGGTGCGCACTCATGGACAAACCGGAGATTAATCTCTAAATGCCGTCTGAGTGGTCCACATGTTAAGCGCATGCTGCGAAACCTAAGGTCATGTATCCGATCTGCTGTTGGTTGTGCATGTGAATCGTTGGAGAGTCTCTATTTATCTGTATAATTTCATTTTAACTTCAGTATTTTCAAACCAACAGAGTAAAATGTTTATTTAGAAAAATCTCACTTTGATTTGTTATATGTTTGGCTCTTGGACTGTACTCATGTTTACCGTTATTAATTTATATTATCTTGAACTTTTTGTCGATAGCTTAGTCATGAGAGCGTTCGACCCACTTCGTCCCAAGTTTGAACACTTTTCCCCAAACTTCGTTACAGGAAACCGGGTATTTCTGTCACCACCCACAATTAGAGTATGTGACCCATAATTAAGTACTTGATTAATGAGTTCGTTTACTTTAATTGTTAGTTAGCCCAATATTCTTTTTTTCGAAGAGTATTATATTTTCCATAAATTCCCAAAAAATCGTTTAGTAGTTTGTCTGACAATGTTCTCTCTGTGATATCCTCAAAATAATGAGTTTATTCTGTTAAGAAAATGTTTTCCGAACTATATATATTTAAATGTGTGTACCAATAATAGAAACTTGTTTACACTTTCGTCTTATTTAGGCTTCCATGTTCATTTGTAACTTATTGCATTCTTGGGTCGTATATAGTTCAATCAGAAGCTGGCGACCATGATCCGACTCAACATATTGGTATAAAATACATACAAGATCATCCATTTGCTCCTCATATGCTTCAAACACCTGAAATGTTAGGACGAATTGTTGAACTACACAAACTTCATCGGTAAGTTATATATACTTTTTTTGGTATGATATTCCGTGTGGGATGTACACTACGTGTAACAAAAACGCATCTTTGCTAAAATTACATCAGATATTTGTCTGAATATTATTTCTTGCTTGCTTCACCGCCTTATCATTTTTGTGACATTCATTAAATGCTAATATTATATAGTTGTCATCATTTAAAACCAGCTTAGTGTTAGAATTCTGATTCCCTGTATATATGCAGCCTACCTGCTCATGGACGTTAGTTAAACAAAGTGTGATTTTTTTAAGACCGAGAGTACAATAGATGCTCCATGAAACTCGAATACTCCGTACAATTTAATTAACATTAAGATATTTTCAGTCAATAAGAAATGATATAATATATTTTTTTATTGATATATTTTGTTAGCATGATTTCTCTCTCCCTGTTACTCTTTTACCATACTGTCACCACGTTCTATTCACATTAAAGGGTGTCATATTATTTATATGATACCTAGTTAACACTACGTCCTAATAAACTCAGTCAGTCAGTAACAACGTAAAACTTTGTACGTACGTACCTCATTTCAAGTTGCCATACCATACAATACAATTAATTTTGTCAAGCCCTTTTATTAACTTATATAACAGACAGTGTTATCCGAGCAGTAACAATTTGTCTATTTCTGTGTATTGTTATGATCACTATCATGTCTGTACACACGTGTGTTATGATCACATGTGATTGCCTGCGCAAATATTCCTCACTCTAACTTAAATGTCGCTCGATGAATTATTCGCTCTCCAATACATATATGTGCTTGAATCTTTCTAATTGCTTTTGCCTTGCTTCTCATCGTCTCGATTCGATTTGACTCTAAATCCACCTCTGTATTCGTTTGCTCACTCTCATTAAGCTCTCTGCTCAGATACTCTTGATATGCTTGTAACTTTGTTATCTGTGCTATCCAATAAAGAGTAGTCGCCGCTTCGTGTTGCATTCTGAATTCGAACACCGTCGGAATTAATCTGATAACGGTTATCAGAGTGATTAGTTATCGAAGGAAAACCACTACAACAAGTATTTTAGTTGTTAGATTAATTAGAAGTTTCCTGTAATATTTTTTTAAAAATGTATGCTGCAAGATCGTATATTTTTGTGTAATTCTTCAATTTCTAGACAGATTTATTCTTAGTCGAATTTTTAAATCTTTTTTATGCCAACTATCGCCAATCGTTACTTCTACATTGTGGACGCAAACTTATAGACAGTAAACCAATTTATTATTTTTGCAAAATCATACGGTAGCTTTGTAAAATATGTAAATCGTACACTAAATACGTCATTTACATATCTTGCTTTACTCGTCTTTTGCATACTTCATAATTTTTTCGATACTGTTGTTATCCCGATTCCTCTTCGTTCTCCTTCTTTATTTCGCTTTACTGATGGTAAATATTCTAATTCCTGCTACACACTACTTATATCTGTCCGCATATGTTATGTAAATCATATGCAAACTCAAATTACACTTCTTAGAATCCTTATCCACCATAAAATAATACTGCTTACTTTTCATGTCATTCTTTCTTTTTTGTTCTCTTTATCTAGTGGTAAAACACCTGAAGAGGCTGATCGTTTATTTTTAAGTAATGCTCGTAAATTGGCCTTGTATGGTGTTGATTTGCATAAAGTTAAGGTGAGTTACTTTGATTGTGTATACGTATGTATTCTGTTTCACTTCATCCAGCCATCCATGTTTAATTGTTTTTCTCCTGCATATATGTAACATGTATTATTTAAATCATAAACTGATCTCATTTAGATCATCATCGGAACAGCTGTTTACTCTTAGCACTGTGACTTCTCTTTAGTGTTGACCAAGAACACGCAACTGGGAATTGGACGCTACATTCTGCCCTGCTCTTAACCTCTAGATCACCTACCTGGCATCCAAAGGTGTATACACCCAACTTAAGTGAATTCACGATGTTGCGCGGCCATTTCCGATTGTCTTCGAGGATTACTTACTTCATAGCTGATGCGGTTGACATTGTGTTAGTTTGCGTGTAAAGCTTACTTAAAAGATATTTTTAGTAGGCCTAATTCAATATGATAGAGTCAGTTAATGTATATTTAGTGAAAGTAATTTTCTACTCATTTCATATCCACTGGTGTCGGAATCGTTTCAATGAACTTCAGACACATACTAGCATAGTAAGATAAAATTGTCACGAGAAATGCTAGATTAGTGGTAGAATCGACTAGGCATAATATTTAAAAAGAATGAATTAGATTTGTTCATGTAGTGTTATAACTTGTGACCTGTATGCCCTGTTAATGTTTAATGTAACGATACAGCCAATTAGAGAGCAGTGAATTATCTATCAGACCAATGACGCGTAAACCCGTATGAGCAGTCTAGAGTATTTATCGGTCCTCTGCAATACAAATCATTTATTTCAAGCATACCAATCAGTCAGACCACATCGTACCATAAAATAGGAAACAACATTTGTACATGATTTGATCAAATGTGGCTGTGAATGTGGGAGGTAGTAATTAATAGACAGGGCATAATTCAAGAATGGTAAATCGTATAATAATTGTTCATAGTTCAAAATAAAGCTCATAATAAAAGGGACATGAATATGTATAGTTTAGTTATTTAACAATTATACGATAAAAATATACACATAGTATTGGTTCATAAATGGATCCCAAAAGTTACCATTCATTATGCTTAACTGGATCTAACAAGTAGATAGTTTTTGAAACTTAAGATCTAAGGGAAAACAAGGAGTGAATTTATCTACTACTAATTGTTACCGATTTCTAGTCCTGTCGCTTGATATCTTCACAATTCGTTACAATAACTGAACCATGTAGCACATCCCCACTAACACAATGTAATTCAAATAACATGTAGTGACTTCGTAAACTAATACCACATCAAAGTTTAGTTGCTTTTAGCTTTCTTCCAACATACTCCTACACTACCAAACATCGAGGCAGTCAGTTGTTTTACACTAATATAATTCAAACAAAATTACTACCAAAACTACGTTCTTCATTATTCGACTATCAAGGAATAGTTGACAACTGTTTGAATCTTTTATCGTAAGAAATTTCAGTTATGCTTATGTGTTTTTCTAAGGATGTATATTTACGACTTTTGAAAACCCTTCTCACAATTTTGTCGGTTACTAATCTCTAATGTGCAAATTTTTGTCGGCCCAACAAAACTCATTTTCTTGAACACAACAACCAATAAAATTATACTTCTGTCTATCTTATCTGACAGAATCTCTGAAATCACTACCGAAATTTAATTATTAACTCAACTAAATTTTTGGTGGTAGTGTAGCTGTTTAACTAGCTAAAATCTATATAGGAGGCTTTTAGCTATAATTCTCCTGGCAGAGCGAGTTCATGTTATTAGACTACTCAAGTCGAAGTAATCAAAGCAGAGCTTGGACCCCTCAAATGAATGAAAAATTAATGTTTATATACCACCACCTTTCTTAAGCTATGCAAACGCATTCAAGAAGTCGCAGTCATACACAGTTACGGTACATTGAAATTGTCAAGAGTATCTATACTGTAACAATATTCGTGTCCTCGTGACGTTCATGTTATTTCTAGCCTCGTGTTTTGTAGAATTATTTGTGAAGCCTGACCATTACAGCCACGTGACATGAAAACTAGACTCCTACCTCACCATTCACTTAATTTTTTAGATATTAGTTTTATTGCTTCATCAAATTGTTTAAGTACTAAATGCTTCCTCTGTCCCATATTGTCTTGTTATCTCCACCTAAATCTTTCTGTCATTAATTATATGGGAAACAATGAAACTCCATCATCTACTAACAAGTAGTGATTTACTTTTTATTGAATAATATAAATTTATTGAAATATAATTTCTTTTAATGCATTACATAAGTAAATACCGAAATTGGTTTATAATATTTGATCGACTAGTCAGTCATGCTACTCAGATCCTCACTGAGCGATAAACAGACAGATAAATGTTTTGTAAAGTCCAAGCAGTCCAACTATCTAAAATTAAATTAATGTTCTACATTCTTTGGTTTACTCATTTATCTATATCTTGAATTCCACTAGATTTTAATTTACCAGACTTCATCACTTGTCTGATTGCTTCATACATACACACGCAAATTAACTTTGTACGTGTTTCTGTTTGCGTATACATGTCTGTGCATCTACTCTTATTATCAAAATTAGATTGGTTGTTTGCTATTAATGTTTTGTCTTATTATCTATCGTTGATTCACAAATTTTACTAATCAGTTTTTTATTTGTTAAAGTAGCTGGCCTTGTTCGTAGGATTTTTAAGCATTAAATAAGTGATGTTAACATTTTTGTGGTTTATTCATTTGAAATTATTGTTTAGGTCGTGTTTAACTTTTCCATATATTACATTAATATTAGTTTAATATATCAAATATATGAATATGTAAAACAAATATAATTACTGGCTGAGTATTAGTATTGTTTGCGGGGGGTGGCAGGTAGGTAGTAGCCCACATAAATTTACCAGAACTGCTAGTCGACTCGTAGATAATCAATCAACCTAAATTAAACCAGCTAAAACATATCAATTACTGATAGTTTGTAGAATTAATTATTTTAAACACCAAATCAGTGGTTAACTCACGAAAGAATAGGATACGTGCCTGTGAATTTGTTGCGCATTCAACCCTCAGTGTTCTATTCATTCATTGAGTTGATACTAAATATCAGAGCATCATTTTCCCCGAATGTTTCATTTCAAGTCCCAACTTTCACTTTTTTCATTCAGCAAATTGAGATGTGCTACGATCGGGTGTTCACAGAAGACATGTCGATAGCGTTAGATGGTAAGATGAAATCCACGATACAGCACTGACACAATATATGAGAGGGAAGATGTTAAATATCACACTTTTACTGAACATTGAAAGAGGATAGTTATCCTCAACATTTCCGAACCGTAAATTAGAATTACACTTCATTTATTTTTGGCCTGCCTAGTTGAATGATGTCAACGGTGCTTTTGCAAATAAAAAATTCGTTCAAAGCGAACTGCATAAATTCATAACAGCTTATACTAACTACGGTACCTCGAATTGATCGGTGCATTTGGAGTATGAAATTTAACTTATTACTGGAAGTCCTTTGCTTTAAATTCCATAATGATTGAAACACATTATTTTCAACTTTATTGATATGTTTTCACCACAATGCACACTTTTGAATTCATTGAGTGTTCAAGTAATTCGGTTCAAGTTTTATTTGTCTTATTGTTACTACTACCTCGATTTAGTCGTTAGGATAACCCATAATAAAGAACCCTTCCGAGCTCTATTGGATGGGACATTCGATCCTTTAGATTTTACCATTCTAGCCAAGTTGTTTGGAGAACGATATCAAACTCATACTACAAGAATGATGTTTGTGTAAGAGTCTTGTGATAGTAAGTTGTTTCGTTCAAACAGCTAGCATCTACAGGAGGACGACGTTAGTAATAGTCATCGTATACATATTTGTAGATAAGGATAAACACTCCGTTTGAATGTTCATTTATTATTTCTTTGGCAGATCCAGAAAACTCGAAAAAAGCCAACAGATACTTTGAAAACACTAAGTATCTTATCCAATTAGCATTCACTGTAAATTTTTCCATAAACGTCTAGAAAGTGAAAAGTCACATGTCGAGTTTCTGGTTGGATGATTACCTTTACTGCTACTATGTTTAGTAGCGTTCCAGAGTTTTCCGGAAACCCATGTCCATCTAAAATACTATAAAAACCCTAGATTTTCTGCACATAAACGAACCTTTGGAGGAAAGCGTTTCTTCCATATTTAGAGCCTTTTCCCTCACGTTAAATTGCTATGTAGATCTAGCCCAGGGTTACTAGAAGAACTTAGGAACCGAATCTAGCGTTCAATTAGAAGACTTATCATTATTCTCCTACGAAAAGATTATCGACTTAAATTACACTGCTGACATGGTTCTATTCTGTGCAAACTAACAAAATTCGTAGTAATAACAGAAGAATATATATGTGATGAATTTCTCTCTTACTACGTGTAACATCTTACACCAATGTTTAGTTTGGTGTCTAATAGTAAAATATTCAAACCTGGAGGTCTCACCAAATCAGTCGGTGTGTGTGTGCGTGACAGAATCTCAGCGTAATACAAGAACTTCATGAGGTTACATCAACATAAAATACAAATGGTACAAGTCAAATATCCATCTATAAATGAAGAGATGATAGTCTTCTACTCATCACTTTACCCTACTGTTATCTTTTTTTGTGAAATTTAGCCTAGTAAATGTTAGTGACATGCACTTCACAAGATAAATTCACAAATAGTATTAAACACATATCAAATCGATTAGTACGTTTATCACATATTACACAGATGGTTAATATTCTCTTTCTATGCGAGTTCATAAAATTTCGCGTTGTTTGTTACATTGAATTTTTACACTATAAACCACTAAGTTGTGAAATTCCATATTCTCATCTCTTGTATCGCTTACTTGGTTTTTTGTTTTACACATGCATAAGAAAATTATGAATGCACACAAGCAATTTACTCTTTGTGATTGTCTAACGGACACATATTTTCAACTTGCATTTATTTCCATCATGTTTTACAGTAATGATAATAATAAAATAGATCTATGTTGTGAATGTGTACAGATTTCTATTGAAGATGGTGGTATTGATCCACAAAATAAATGTAATTGTGAACTTCACGCGTGCACATTGGATCTTTTTTTTCAAGAATATTGTTGTTAGATTTTTAGTTTGTTTTTATGCTTTCACTAGAAAATATTTGTTTGGTCGTGTGTTTAATGCAACTAAAATGTTCTATTTCTTTTCCCTATCAAATACACTTGATTTTTTCATGAAAAATGACACTAACAGACGGAATTGCTATTTGTTCACTCGTCCTTTTATCCCGAATGAATTGAGCGCAGTTTGTTTCTTCGTGTTAAAAGAAATAAACCCAGCCCAATAGCCAAAAGATCGTCTTGAGTTCACTAACTCAGTGTACACTAAACATCTGTGATATTAATGCTTTTACTAGTATTTAAGGTTATCTAATTGTCATCGGTCATTAACAACAGCAGATTGAAAATATCATCTTAGTACCCTGTTCAATTTACCGCTTGATTCCACGATATTTAATATCAGTGGAAGTGAAGGCGCGGAATTGATTTCTATACAGTTGAGTTTTTGTTTAATTTTATGCCGCACAGATTCAACTTTTGACTAAGACTAATCAGGTCTTGGTGTAAATTTCATAAGGTGAATACTTTTTTTGGTTTGCAATTACTAATATGTATATTTGTAGTGTTCCCTCAAAACTCTAACTTACTTGGTTCTACTTCAGTGTTGTTTTCTCTCTACTTATCTCACCCATCATTTAGAATAAATTATACAGTATTTAGTATTGTAATATTTTCAGAGTTTCTTCACCCAATGTTCTTTTTTCGTTGTTTTTTTACAGACGTCTCAAGGTCAAGATATTACTCTAGGTGTTTATTATGGAGGTATCCTGCTATACCGTAATCGTATTCGTTTAATGAGAATTAGTTGGCCGCGTATTATAAGCCTATCACATCGTGGACGTAATTTTATTATTGCACGAAGACCTGGTGATGATTCATTAGATCGTAATATGACTTTTAAATGTATCAGTCCTACACTGGCTAAACGATTGTATAATGTTTGTGTGGATCATCATAATTTTTTCAGGTTAACCATTTTTTTTCGTTGCTTAGTGATAATTCTTTTGCATACAGTATATATATATATATATATATATATATATATATATATATATATATATATATATATATATATATTCATTCATAATTATTTTTTCTGCTTCAACTTCAAAAATACCGAAATGTTGATACGTCAGACTTTCTGAAATATCTTTGTTTATCATAGAATCTAACACTATTTCTATCGACTTCTATAGTACATCCGTCTAGACAAATATATCTCTTGAATAAGCTGATTTCATTAGACAAGAAAATTATCCATAAATACCAATGAGCATTCACAGTAATTAGTTGTAATGCCTGTCAACTGAGTCATTGGTTTGAACAGTTTAGAGGTTTCTTATCGTTCCTACTCTTGTTTATCTTAATTTCATACCTATGGGTTCGGATTTTTAGTCAGTTAGTTTAAAAAACGTTTATCAGCGTAACTATAATACTGCATGTTGTAAAAACTTTGACCTTTAAATTGTTTTTAAAATAAATATCTTTTATCGCAAAATACATTTGATGATATCTAAACCAACGGAAATGAAACACTGATATTTAAGACATAGATTAAAAGTAAAATTCATGTTTATTCGAACACACAGATTCGCTCCAACTCATGGGATTAAACAATGGCCTTGAGACTATTACAAGGGCTTTGGTCTGGGCACCCGGGTAGTATCACACCTCATACACAAATCAAGTGACTTGTGTGGCGCATATGTATTTGGTGCCCTTTTGTACCAATATTTATGTGTTCAAATATATAAATAAGTTACAAAGGTTGATAAACAGCCGAAGTAAATAATACAAAAGAAAATCAGTAACTTCTGTAGTGGTTTTGTACAATCAGAATGCAAATGCCTATAGATCTTATTATATCCATTTTATTCTTAACAAAGCTAACCAACCTATTGAAAAAGGTAAATTCCTACTTAGGTGATTCATGGCAAAAGTGAAACATACAAATTACAGCTAGTGGTAAATGAGCAATCACGAATATGATAGAAGATGGGATTGAATAATTCAACTATTTCTTCTAACATTTTCGTTGGGGATTTACGTTATCTGGAAAACTGATAGCCACTAGACAATCGTTAAATCCTAAATTGGGATTCATCACAACTATGCACCCCATGACTTAGAATGTATTCAATTTGTAATCACTAGATCAAAGGTTCTAACCTCACACCACTTACTTTGGTTCGAGAAACCGAGTAGTATCACAAATCTGTACTCAGTAATTAATTTGCATCAGTTTTCGGCTTTCTACTTCAATCAAGTCATGATACATGGCGTGATTTTCATTCCTTTGTAACTGATAAGTTATTTTCGACTTAATTGACTTTAGAGGGTGGTGGGCTATGATATTGTACTAGATCTTGACAAAGTCCATCTCAAATCTTGTCACTAATAAACCCAAAGTTACGATTATCATTATTAAATGTTATGTAATGGTTTTGTGGAGACTTTCACATTGACGATGTTTTTATCATAAGCTAATCTAATGTCATTTGAATAACAATTGAAAAGTAAGAACCATTAGGCCAACTGTTTTGTGACAAGTGTTGTCTGTATGTATATTATTCTTCAGAAAAAAACATAATATTGAATGATTTGTTATACGCAACGTAGAATCTGGCACATGTTTACATTGCTTCGACTTGCCATACCCTAATAGCACATCGAGATGAAATTGCTTAGAGTAGTGGAGAAAGTGATGACAGCATTAATAGTCATAGAGAAAAGCTAGACATCGAAGATATGATTCGAGAAGAAAGTATAGTTTATCGGAGTGAAAAGAAACTATACAGGATATCAAGGAATGAATGCATTTGCGCCAATGGGAACAATTTGGAGCCTTATCGCCCAAGGTCTCTAACACTAGTCGTGGAATGTCATGAATAAGCTGTTTCACTCGATTGTTGACTGTCTTGCTCTGGTTGTCAATTAATTTGTAGTGCTAATCTAATTACACTGCCAGCCAATTGAAATATAGTTTATATGTTCACAATGTTTTCAGACATTTTATCTATTCCATTGTAAGCTAGACACTGTACACTGGTCAACCTATTTAGCTTTCTGAAGAAAAAGAAACACTAGTCGGAGATTATATTTGAAGTTTATCATGCCGCATTTCAAATTTCTTCCTGTTTTCCAGTTGGAAAAATATGTTTATTCAATTACTTACAAATACGAAAAATGACTTTGTATGGGCTTTTTACGTAAACCAGGATAAAGCCATTGATTTTTTCTCCACATATATATATTCATTTGTTTCTCGACAATTCGGAATCTTTTTATTTGATTTAAGGATCAGAAAAGCCACTGATACAACGCAGTATTGTTTTCTTTCAAGTTTTCATGAATTGTTGTATCCTATTCTTCGACCTAATCTTGCTTTTTGTTATTTTGATTTACGTATGGTTACATAGACTTCGTGGGTCGTCTAGACCGAAAAAACCAAGTTTATTCCCTTCGTTTGCTACTCGCAAATATCATTATCCTGGTACAACTGTGAATTCATCGTCGATTGACGCTACTGTCGGTGTCGGTGGACATAATCAAACATCTCGACGTTTATCTAAATTTCGTCCAATGCCTGCCCATCCTTCAGAAACTGGTAAGAGTAATAGATAAGTTTAATTTGTTTTTATGTGTTATTCCATTGTGCTCAATATTAACTCATCGTATATCGGTTTGTGCACTCTGTTTTAAGTCGTGATATGTGGTTAAACATAATACTGAGTTGCCTAAACGGAAGGTGAGGTGAGGTCCAGATTTGTTTTACTTCATTGTGGAGCAACCACTTTAGTGGTTAATGTGTTTTACTTTCCACTACAAAGTCACAGGTGCGAGTCTCTGTGTATTTTGGTTTAGGCAACCAGGTAATAATACCAATCCTCATACAGGAAGTTTAGTTCGAAGCCGAATACATTGATCTTCGCAATTGAGTATATTCTAGACGTGATGACTATTGGTCTGGGCAAATACACGTAAATTTAATATTGAATATTATTGCTAATTATATAGTCGTTGCACTGTAAAACTTCAATTTTTAAACCATCATTGACCATAATGAAAATACACCTAAATTTTAAAGATATGATTCAATTTTCTTTTTTCATTTGAACTAAGCGTCTAACCATAAAACATCAGATCAAGTTATACCAATAATAAGAGGTGATAAATTGTCTCCTTCATGTAATGAAATTATAACAGATTTCTTGAATTGTTTATTGTGCCTATGTAATCGTGCCGTAATACACGAAAGCAATTGTATTGATCTAGTCCGAATATTGATTAATTCTCCCTAGATTATCTATCTAGTACCGACGACCTTCTGCTTCACAACAACAATATGATAGTGATAAAGCAACCGAGAACAATACTTGACAACTATTGACCCAAAATACGATTCTCCCGCGTCTGATCGCGAATCGTTCACATCATAATATGAAGTAGAATCCTTGCCACACAACACCATAATTAAGAAATTATGAAATGGTCATAATTATGTGAAAGTAAACTGGGTATTAAGTTCGTAATAAATTGACAGTAACTTAAAAAAGATATTACATACGATAACAGTTTATACATCACGTAAAAGCTTACAAACAGTAGAATAAAATAATTTACGCACTCAACAATTATACTGCAAAAATGTAGACAATAACTTCTGATAGGGTAGTTCCACAGGTTCAATCCTCTTCGTATTTATCCTGTTAAAGCATTTGCTCAAACCTCTAAATCTTTTGTTTGTTAAATATAAGCTTAATTCAAGACAATACAACACTAACTATAAATTCTGTGTTTTTTTTCCATATAAACCTGATCAACAACAAATATGTGATTGTGATAATCTATCAATTAAGCTTTCTGACATTTTTGTTTGAACGTTTGTGGTGATCTGTATGTACTATCGATTTCAGTGATGAGTATAAAAGTTATTATGCATAATATTGCAGTCATAAATTCAACAATTGTTATTATATTACATCTTAGTTTAAATTCATCACCTAACTTGGTGTTAGATTGATTTATGACCCAAAATACCGAACGACAATGCACTACGATTTGCAAAAATCTCAACATATACATCGAAATTTCTAAACCACTTTTTTAAGTCTAAAGTTTATCAATAACTGTGGATTTTATTTACCTGTATTTTGTAAACGATTAAAGTTATAGAACGTAACAACTACTGCTCCAAATAGAAAATTTACATTTAAAACTGTACACAAAAACCATAACATAATTATGAAATAATAATTTCACGTGTACGGAACTGACCACGTTATTTATTAAAAAATAATGTCAGTCCAACTGGTATGTTTCCCATGTGCGCTCGTCTCTCATTGCAATAAATGTTTTGATATCAATCCATCCGAAGGACTTTATAATTAGTTTTACGTCATAACTTAGTTTTTCCACTAAAAGACAATTCACAAAATTAAACAAGGAAATACCTATATTTTATATATATTTTACAGCGTTGATATGATTACATCAAAAATTCTATGATCAAGGTAGTTTTCGCTAACTTATGAACCTTACAATTCATTATTTAGAATAGATGATTTATGGCTTGAAGTTAGTATGCATTTCATTCTATTTGCGACACAGCTGGACATAATTGTCACACTCCTGTGTTAGTGTCCGATACTGAGACTCGAATCTAGTACCTTCCATTTAAAAACAACCTTGTTATCCTCTGATCTAGTGAGTTCCGGTAGCCGTTAGACTTTCTCGACGGTTATGATGTTTGTATCATGAATAGCAAGGCTTTATATAACTCTTATTGCAGTCTTGTTCACATATCTGTTCTCTACATTTTATATTATTATCTATATCAAGCTGATCATACCTGTAAGCTGTCATGAATTCTGAAATTATTATTTTCAGAATATGTATTATATGACTATTATTATTATTTCATTGTTGTGCTTACACCAAACTTCCACTAATCCATTATCGTTTTTCCCACATAGGATGGTTTACATTTGCTAACCGCGGAGAAAGTAAGTCATATCTGTGTCATTTATATATATATATATATATATATATATATATATATATATATATATATTCGGTAAATGGAAACGGATTGTGTTACTTTATAGTTGTGGAATTGTCGTTTAGTTATATTTTGATGATGACAATAACGTATCAAGGTTTCCCTTTGACCTATAGTAAATTCTGTTTACGAACATTTGAGGATGTTTGTAATACACGATGCAAAGAATATGAAACTCGAACAGATTGGATGTCTGTTACATGTTAATAGCGAATACATGACTTTCAGGTTAACTTAATTTCACATTCAGAATTTCAAGAATTGAACTCGAGTAACTGTTTATGTAGTAATACTTAATGACCTTTGATCAAATAACAAAATTAGCAAAGTAAAAACTATGACAATCAACCAGGTGACACCAATTGTTATTGTTGAGCTATGAACCAGGAAAATGTCATAGAAATTTTTTTTCTTGTAGAAAGAACTAACACAATATCAAAGCACTAGATAACCTGATCTCTTAATGTTTATATGTATGAATCATATTCACAATTTACTCAATCTTAACGTTTTATGTGTTTATCCAACTGCGTACAATTAGTTACAGTTGATGTGTATTGTCTAACTTCTACTGATGTAAATCAGGCAACTTGATCATATAAGCTAATAGTCATTGATGTTTGTCGTATCTATATTTAACCTATTTTTCCAAAAGATTAATAATTACGAAACCTTTTTACTGAGTACAATTCGTCAAGTCTGTATTGTACATGTGTTTAATCATTTGACTACTTAATTATTATTCAACTGAACTATACGCTTTATCTTCGATAATCGAATAAAATGACTTTTATTGTGGGACAATATATGCAGTGTGTAAATCTGTAGTGCTATCAGTTAGTTATAGTTGACTGAAATCAAGGAATAGCTTGTTTATGTTTAATTTTCAACAGTCAACTAATAATAATAAACTACGGATCTTCAAATATTCTTCCTCCATCCCATCTTCTTTAATGAACAATATCACTTGTCCTCACGAAAATACGCGATGACCACTTATCTCAACTCAGGATATTCTGTTACCTAGTTCAGAAAAAAGTTAAGGGATGGCCAAACCAAAATGTGAAATCAGTTCTTTGAGTCATTAAATAATTTGTCCGAACGAATGCTTATGTTTGAAAATTATCTGATTGTAGTTCGTGAGTTTATTGTGATCAATTGTTGAAGACGTTGAGTGATAATACTCGGAATCGTTCTCAGTAGTACAAATATATTCTCTCTCTACCTTCCCTTAGATCTTGAATCTTAAAACTTCTTGTATCTTCACTAATTCATCAGTTCCGAATTCTCTGTATACTTTGTCGTTATTTCGTCATCGCTGACCTCACTACTACTTTGATATTCATCTCGCTGTACTTATTCAATACGATGACTTGAATCGATGCACAAATTCGCTAAGTTTTACGATGCTTATAACTGACTTATAAATGACGTTTATGTATAATAACGTCAGTAAGTTTCTAAAAAAAATGTTTAGTCATAATGCATATTGACTGACTTAATGGTTTTTTCCTTACTTTCTATTGCATTCATGGTTTGAGAAATGATTTGGTTCCCTAATCAATGCTTCTTAGACAATTTCGGAAGTTTTTTTTAATCAGCTTTGCGATAGTCTCCACGAAAAGTGATTGTTTTACGTTTACCGGTTGTGGCTTTTGTACCACGGTTACAGATGACAATATCATAGTGGCTACTTGGCAATTGCTTCTCAATATACATAGCATTGGGGTAAGATCACTGGTAAAGTCTATATACAAGATATTTTGATGTTTGGTAGGGCTATCGTCATACTGAGTCCACTATCCAAGCTCTAAGCTCAATAAACGATCCAAAACCTTTCGGCGCCTTAATTGGAAACCAGGAAATTTCGGGCATGATGTAGGCCCTCGAATATACTTGCCAGTGAATGATAAGGATGAGGCGAGTGTGAAGACTTCTGGTAATGTTACCATTCTTCTTGTTGGTAGATTAGGTTGAACATGAGGACCTCCAAACAGCTAGAAAACTGAAATTGATGACTTTAGAACACTTTACACAAAATTGTGCAGTGTGTATAATCCTGGCATATCACATAGGAGCGATTTCAGGCTAGAGTGAGCATAAATAAAGTTGCTTCGGTCTCTTCCTTGGAACCTATTATTTCTATATGGGAAATAGTTATTAAGAGATATGTTTAAATCAGAAATATTATTGGTTGTTCGTACTCCAGACATCCCTACAAATGATGATTGATAAAGGGATACAGACAGGGATAAATCCGTCCTTTTATTACAGATCGTCCAAGCTTTAATAAAACATACATTAGACAAATCGATCATTGGATGACAGCATTTAGATCAAAAGATTTATCACATCCCTCAGTAGTGTGATGTAGGTTTAAAATGAGGGTATATAAATTGAGCTAGTGAATTTGATTGCAGAGTGTAAGCAGGAGGAAAGGGTGAAAATACTGGATGACTGAAATTGTGAAGAAGTAGCAAGTTTATATTTCACATACGGATTGACATGGCTTTAATGTGATGACTCGCTGTATTCGAAAATATATTGTACGAAGTACCGCTAATTGTATCATAGTCCTGATAGTAAAGCACGTAGCGTGGGCTAAAGCTATTTGAATTAGCGCTAGCTTGAAGAGGATTTGCTGCACTTAATTAGAAGTTGTTATGACCGTTTTTATATTTTGAAGCCATTCGTGTTTGGTGGGTTGGTACTGTGTTAAGAACCTTTAAGATAGTACCGTTCACAGAGAAGTATCAGTTAGGTATGTTAAAATACTCTCAGGTGCATTTAACTCAGTCTTACCATTGAATAAATTGATTGACAAAAGACTGAGTCACGAAAAAATTAGATACGCAAACTAACCTACCACTAGCCATAGATAGGCAATCAAGAAGTGCAACACAAAGGTTTTCTGCAGCTGATGAAAGGCAGACAAAAACACAGTGCACATAAATATATGTCGTTCGGCGTTTTCCGAATTATACAGGTCTCTTAAAGGCACATGTGCTACTAAGTTATGCTAGCCTACAAACATGCCACAGACCTGAAGCACTTCTAACACGTAGTAACTTATTTGAGGCAACCCATCCAAGGTCGCCGTAATAAGAAAGCAGTGATTTCATTTTGAAACTAGCTTTGATTCTGTGATAGCGAACATACATCACTTTTGCGCGACAGAACCAACAGCAAAATTGGCTGATAAAACCCAGTTGTTTGCAATGGTGGAGGTAAAGGTATGCCTTTTGTTAGGTAGAACATAAAATAATCAATAAGAGAACCTCGGATATATCATGTTGATCTATCACCTTTTATCCACTATGATCCCCATTATCTAACAGTTAAAAGTTCTGATTGCCAATCCATTAGGTAATCTATATCGACACCGTCACTTAATTGAGGGGGAGAGATATGTTTGTGTTCATAATTAAGGCCATAATAACGTCCTCAAATATTTATTTCATCATTGTGAGTTATTGACTGTTGTAAATGAATGTTCCCTTGCCTACACTATAATTTAACATACAACACATTAACTTATTAGTCAATGCTGATTTCCATTTTGAAATATACTCTTAATCTATATCTCTTATAAATGTAGTGTTTATAATAATATTCGATCGCATACCGCTGCGTGTTTTTCTTCTAAATCATGTCTTATTAACCCTTTGATAATTGTATTTATTGTTATTAATTTAATTGGAAGGTACAATTTTTACAGTTTATAATTATAACGGATTACGAATCCTACTGTAAGTAATTTTCTTTAGAGATAATCATGTATGACATAACTGTCCCCACCTCACGCAAAACACGGACGCTGGGTTGGTGACTCACTGATTAATATCTTCGGCTTTCAGCTCTCTAGTCATAGGTTCGAGTCCTCATCACTTTGAGTATTATTGCTGGCCCTCAAACTTAGGACGTAACCTGAAGCAAAGTAAATTAATCTGTAATGAGTTAACAATAATATAAAGCTGTTAGTTTGTTTTCTATTTGTCTTTTCACTTTTTTTCCTTCTGACTTACATTTCTGGGTAACGTTATGTAGTTTCGTTTACCATGTACAACAGGTTCATGTACTCGGCTTTGAGTAATACTTTTTCGTATATGAGGTCTGTTGATAAAAGCCAGCTTGCTTAACTGAATGGTAGTTTGAACCATCGACATACTGGTGGAGATCTTAACCTACTAAAAGTTCTACTAATATCGAATTCCAACTTACCTGACAAATGATTTGTTTACATTTGATCTCTTAGTCAAGTATTAATCTAGAAAAATTATTACCATATCTTTTGGAATGCTTATTTGATTACTGTAATCTTCTAGTCAGTTGGTATTATGTAATACTCACTCTATACAATGTTCACGATTCTCATTTAATGTTAAGAATACGCTAACATATTCATTTTGTTGTGATAATTAACAGAATCATAAGTGGTACTTGTTTTGTTATTATTTAAATTTCGTAGTTGTCCACCATGTTTCGCCGATTGTTATTTTCATGCAAATCTTGAGTAAACTGGTTTTATGTAAATAATAATTTCCTTGATATTTTATCAGTCATCTAGTCGTTATTTTCTACAATTTTACTCATATTTAACAATCTGCTCTATGTTCACATTATTTGATTGACCATTTAGATTCTCTTAAATATGTTTTGTGAATTCACTGTTGTTCTATCTCAATAAAAATTATATTGAATTTAATTTCCTTTTAATTTAATCCTCGATAATCTCTCGTCATCATTTCGTTGCTTGAATTTACGGCACTTTTTTTCAATTTGACAATTAAAAGAGATCTCTGGCCGAATATTTGGAAACTTTTTAGATTAAATAATTGTTTTAAAAACGAAAACTAAATATACTGATAACATTAAACGGTAAAAGTATCGTTTAGGTACAAACCAATTTAATACAAATTGAGGCTTTTATGTTCTCACCTGAAATTCAAACACCATTTATATTGAACAGTAGTAATGATCATCGTTTTACGTTGTTCAAAATGTTTGAATTGAAATTTTAAAAGCTTTTCACTACCTTATAGTAAACACCAGATACTCAGGTCTGTTTTTTTAGCGTGTAGTTAACAAGTGAATGGACACTATCCAACTTTAAGTACCCTAATTTTGTTAATACTGTCTGATATTATTGCTTCGTTTTCCATGAACTATCAATTTAATTAGGTGTTTGGTATTACCTAGGAACTAGCTGAGAGTTCTTTGCGGTTGTTTTAACCCCATTCCTTCACTGTACTCTTACTTATTAGATAAACGAATTTATTTTATATTCTGTAGCGGAAAAGAAGTTGAATATATGTCGTTCTCCTTCCCATCAGTGCTATCATTTCTTCTATTATTACAACTTATTCGACTAAATAATAGATGATATTATGTATATGGCATTTTTAATTAAATAAATTTCAATTTTTATTATAAATGAATTTGGTTACATTGAAAATTCGCTTGAGTTTTTTTCACTCTCTCTCTCTCTTCAATATATTCTAACTATTTTGTTGTTTCACTGGTTGAAATCATGAGTCAGTTGAAGCTAGATCACCGTGGAAAACCTTGAAGCACTGGACAGCAGTGTGCATCCACGATCTCGCCCCCCCCCGCGAAATTCGAACCCAGGACCTATCAGTCTCGCGCCAGGCGCTTAACCATCTAGGCCACTGAGCCGGCATCCAACGGTGTTAATGTCTAACTTCAACCAATTCTAAAATCTCCACAAAACCCCTGATATTTTGTTATTGTCTTCTTTTTGTTGATTCTGTTTTTTGTCAATTTTCAGTTTCTGTCCCATTTAAGTACATGCGTATTATTTCTGAGAAATTCTTTCCTGCGAAATAATAAAAATCAAAACGTATCTCCCGACAGAAAAAAGTTGATTTAGTTTATATGACTTTGATGTTTATCAGTACTACTAGTAGTTGTAGTCAGTCAGATACCTTAAAATAATATTGTTGTGATTGTGAGATTGAAAGTGGATAGATAGCTTAGTGATGGGTTGCTTGCTAAACAACACTTAGGAGGCGTTACTGAACTAAATCATTACTGGCGAATAAAATCATCCTTCAGTGACCATGCGAACTCGTCTCTTTTCGGGGCCTGCGTGTACCAATGTTTACGTATTTAAATAAATAAATAATCGGGGGAAAATTTTTCTTTCTCGACATACCGATTAAATACCACCAGTCACACTTTTCAAATTAGAAATTGATGTGTAACTAATATAACCTACAAATTATATTTATCTCCAGGAGACTCCTACAAATAAACCATAATTGTTGTTGTAATTCATTTTGTCTTTAATACTGCTCTATATGTAAAAATTTTCCTGTTATTGTAGATTATTAAATAAATGAATATCAAATGGTTGGTTTTTTTTATCCATAAAGATTTTTGATAAACTCAGTGTAGGCATTCAATTCTTATTTTATCTTAGTTTACTGGTTGACTAGCTCTAGATTATCCATTTTTTTAATTTCCCAACATTAATAACAAATGCCAAATATGAGTCTTCTCTCTCTCTCTCTCTACTATATTCGACAGATACGTTTGCTGGATTTAAGATACCTGAGTATAGTTTTAGTCAGAAATAGACGATGACGACGTTGAGTTAATGATAATAACGATAGTTGTCTGTTTATTAACCTTTAGTGGATCATATGAATGGTGCAGTCGCTAGTCAATATCAGTACCAACCAGCTATGGTAAGTGGTGATCCAGCCTGTATGGATCCCACTTATTTATGTAATCAAAATGTAATCAATGGACTTCCCATACCAAATGCTCAAGGTGTTCAACGCTATTACCAACCAAGTAGTAATGATGTTACCGGCTTAATGAATGGTCATCATCCTAATAGTAATAATAATCATATCAATAATATGCCCACAATGATTACTAGGATATCATTTGAACCTGAACACTGGCGTATAACTGGAGCTGATTGTACAGCAGGCTTAGGAATAGATGCTCGGGGCTTAGATGTTGCATCTACACGTGGAGCTGGATGGCAAGTAAGTACAAAACTTTATCAAGCATGTCTATGAATTTCATGTATTTCTTGTTTCATACTCTCCCTTTCACATATTTTATTAATGAATCTTCATGTTTATCTTGTGGTTCTTTAAAGTGGTAAATTGTGTTCACCAAATTTACAGAAGGCTAGATTAGCTTTTGCTAACATGCGAGATACCCGTCTATCAACCAAAGGACGTGTTTACTGTGCAGCAGTTCGTTCTGTCCTACTTTATGGCAGTGAAACATGGCCGGTAAGAGTAGAGGATATACGTAGGTTACTAGTATTTGATCATAGGTGTCTTCGAAACATTGCTCGTATATCCTGGGACCGTCGAGTAAGTAACTCAGTTGTTAGAAAACGGCTACTAGGTAAGGATGGCAAATCGATTGATGAAGTGGTGAAACTTCATCAGTTGAGATGGTTGGGACACGTGTTACGTATGCCCAACGACCGACTGCCTCGACGTGCGATGTTCAGTGGTATAGGAGTAGGTTGGAAGAAAGCTAGGGGCGGCCAGACCAAAACATGGCACAAGTCCATGAAGTCACTGACAAGTGGACTGAGTCATGTTTGTAGGTGTAGACTACCTGGTTGGGGACCGCGAGATGATAGCAACCGATGGTAAGAGACCCTGAATGACATGGCTCAAAATCGTTTGCAATAGCGCAGGTGCATACACTCTTTGTGTTCTTCCAAATTCTAATTTCCTGATTCCTCCTTGTCTCTTTTTTTCTCTCCAAATTTATTTCACTGGATTATTAATAACATCTTCAAACCCTAAGCTTTCCGATTACGGCTTATACTCTTACTACCTCTACCACTACGGGATTTCAATCGACAATGTGGTGTGACAACTCGAACTGATGTACGTACGTACAAAATTCTACGTTGTTGCTGACTGACTGAAATTTACTACTTGTATAATTCACCTTTTGGCAATCCAGTGAATTTCTCTTGTTATTGGCTAATTCAGTGTTTTCTTATCGACATATACTGTTCATGCTCAATTTCGACTTATTGTCTAGTTGTTTCAAGCGTTTCGAGTTGATTTCACTAGAAATTAGGAGATATGATTAGTTTGAACTATACTATTTGGGTAAATTATGACTTTCTTTATCAGCATACCTATAATCTTGACGAAATGTATGCTTATTCATTGATCCAAGACTAGGTCGATCATCACCGTGGTAGAAAAAACTACACTTAATCTTCTTGCTATAAGTACCATTAATGTTGCGTCCGTTTATACCAACATACCAGTTATTTCCATAGCCTAGTTTCAGTGTATAATACTATTGATTGGCCCATAAGAGTTCTTCTGTCCCTAACCTGTCCGATCAGAAGACAAGAATAACAAATACATTCACCTTGCACTATTATGCACGAATCACCAACCCACATGATCATATGCACCAAATAGAAGACAATACTGCACTATGACTAAGACAGTTCAGTCCTTATATAACTGGGTCATCTGGTGTACGAAACTAGCTGACCAGTGCATAGTGAATCGCAACTTTTGTGTATGTGATGTGACTCAAACGGTTTATAAGTTAAATAAAATTCTATAGTTAGGGCAACATAAGAAGATACACTGCAGAATGGTTTTCAAAGTCCCACCTATCTCAGTTTATTCTAACACTACTACATTCACATAACGATTGAGACACTTAACAGATAATAGCAATCAGATAAAGTTATCACAATATATGGATTTGTATTGACTTTTTCCTACATTTCATATTGAGAAGTTTTAATTTCAGTTCATGAATGGTACTTGAAATACTCGTAGTTAATTGCGCGTCATTTAGTAACTAACTCTACTATAATAGTATTCCTGTAGACTAATATGATTGAGGTCAGTCAATAATATCAAATTTTAATGTATGGTTCACTCTAGTGTTTCCTTCTCTCGTTTTTTGGAACCATGCGCGTTCAAGCTTGTGTCCTGGGACATCTTTCTACCTATTTTATGTTTTAATGATCTTATCCTTATACACTTTATCTTTTATTTCCTCTGAGTGGTAGCTGAGTCATCACTCTGCTCATTTATTAATTAAGTGATGTTTTCTTTTGTACACTAAAATTAATTATAACATACTGTGCAAATTGTTGCGATACGCTTAAATTGAATTCCACGAGAGAAAAATGCAGATACGATAATTATCAATAATAATTCTGTGTGTTTTCATAGGTGACGATCGTTGTGAAAAAAACTTTGATTTCAGTAATAATATATTCTATCATCAGGTGAAGTATATTGCTTTGTTTAAAATTCTTAGTAAGCTACTTGTATATGTATTAATCCTTATTGTATATTCTTCTCATTTTTGACACTTATCATCTCTTTCATAAAAAATCACCTTGTCAATGGATTGTCTACACACTGTCTAATCTCATGCTATATTTCTGTCTTTTTTTCTTTCATTCAGGGTTGTAGAGCTAATAAAGGTGTAAAAGCTCCAGGTGCATATTACTATGAAGCGGCTTGTTTAGAGGAAGGACTTATACGTGTCGGTTGGTCAACTAATGATGCCAATTTAGAACTTGGTGCAGATAATTATGGTTTTGGTTATGGATCCGATGCTGTAGGCTCTGCTGGTATGAATGGTACTGGACGTGTAATGCATCGGAATACTGGTCATGATTACGGAATAATGGTTCATCAGGGTGATGTAATTGGTTGCCTGTTAGATTTAGACAAAGGATCAATTTCTTGGTCATGTAATGGAAAAATATTTCAACGTGCATTCACTATACCTGACCAATTAAGAGGAGAAGCTTTCTTACCAGGTAAATAAAACCATTAGGTTACTAATTCGAATATCATATTTCATGTTCCAGCAATGCTGTTCATTTATTATTATCGAGATCATTGAATGTACATATGTTCATGAAAGAAGATATTGTATACATGCGATTATGATATGATAAATTTGATTTCACCCTCCTTTTTCATTAAACTCTTTAGTGTGACGTCATTCCGAACTTTTAATTCTCCAATCTCATTCGTTCCTTTCAATAAATCTCGTCCTTTTTATTATTCTCTCTCATATATTTCTACACTATATATTAAATCTGGTAGTTTTTTTTATCGAAAGATTAAAATGGGTTATTTGTTCTTTTTTAGCTATTACGTTATACCATATAGGAAAATTAAAAGTAACGAAACGATGTATATTCTTCCCTTTAGATGAAATCAGCGGTTTTTCTCCATGTTAATTAAGAATTCAGCGTTATTGGGGTGTTGGTATTTTGTAAAACGTGTACAAAAACCACCACGTACCTTGACACACGGTAATTACTGATCAAAGAGTAGTATACTAAAAGAAAACTAGTTATGGGTATATCATAAAATATATATGGTCTATAAAGTCATTAACTTTTGTTGGACGGACCCATGTTGGCAAATAAGTGCTACCTCTGCTTTTGTGTAAACAAGTTAGTTACATTTAAAAAATCACATAAAGTACATATAAAAATTCAGGTTTATGTACAGAAAATAGTAATTTGATTCTTTTCACAGGAAATATTTGTAGGTAGATAACTTTTTCATTTCGTTTTACTACTTTTGATGGTCAATGGTTTTCGATGAAAAAAAGGCAAATTAATGAATCATTGTGTTCCACAAAGTTGCCTACAACTGTTCTCTTCCTCTTTCCTCCACACTGCCAAGTTTTTCACTTGATTTATTGTTGATAAGGAGAATGTGTGATATTTTTTGTTTTTAAATGTTAACTAAAATGCTTTCATTTCTTACGACGTTAACGCTTTTTCGCTTATACTCTTAGGAGAGAAGTAAAAGTGAATAATTTCTGAGACAATCTGTACTGAAAGTTTGTTTGCCTGTTTATCTCGAAAGAATGAAACTAATATAATTTCAATTTGTTTGCCATTTTACTTATAAGGCAATACTATCCATACGAGAGAAATAAAATATTTGGAATAGCTCAGCTTACATAAGATAGTATAAAGTAAAAAAAAACTTATATTATGTATATGAACATTGGTTGTCACTGAGTAATCTAAAATTTCATGTTCATCTAGTCTCCTTTGTTCTGACCGAATTCTATCGATCCGTTGCACATTCCCAAAATCACTTCTCCGTACGTAATCTTTTTTAATACCACTGTTACTAATCCGACTGTAGGATTTGTCTTAAAGTGATTTCATCTCACCGTGCTAATGTGTTGTGGCAACTTGAAACGGTGCTCATATCTCAGGTTCTACTTTGCGTATAAATGATTGACTGAAATAATTTAATTTATTGTTGTAACTTGTTACCGCCGATCAGAGATCAGTGGATTATCGATCAGACCAAGGACGCGTAAAACACGTGCGAGCAGCCTAGAGTCCTGATTAGTCCTGCTTTCCTCCTAGCCCAGCCAGTTAAGTCCAGAACACCAGTCTCAGCCTCTGCAGTATGAGTCATTATATTTCAAACATACTGAGTTTATATATCAATCAAACAGACCACAACGTACCAATAAAATATGAAATAACATTTGTACAAGAACTAGCCATATGTGGCTGTGAATGAGGGAGATAGTAATGAATATACTTGGTATAACTCAAGAATGGTAAAACGTATTATAATAGTTTATGGGTCAAAATAAAGCTTATAATAAGAGGAATATGAATATGCATAGTTTAGTTACTTAATAATTAAACAATAGAAATATACGTTTAGTATTGTTCTATCAATAGATCTCAAAAGTTGCCATTCATTATTCTTGTCGGGACATAACATTTATATTTCAATCTTTAAAGTATTTCACATCTCTCATGTGATCGTGTTTCTTTTACTATTTTAGCGGCTAGTCTAAAAGATTCACGTATCCTATTTAATTTCGGTGAAGAACAATCGTTAGAATTCCCACCAGACGGTTCATTTATTCCTGTAGCTCAGTCTGCTGATGATAGTCAAGTATCTAATCGAAATCCTGGTTGGCGCATGAATCAGTACGATGCAACGAATGCTTTAGATGTTGCACCCGACGGTAGTCAAGTTCAGTCACATTTTAATCAAGGTTGGCAAGGTTGTCGATCGAATCATGTAAGTACTTTTCGTTTACTTGCGTATATTGCTTTGACTTTAATAGAATACTTTAACGTAAAGATTTTATAAAAGTATATTTTGAATGTTTAATATTTACTACCCCTACTACTCTGAGATCTACCCTGCACCATTTCATCTCTTTGTACTGATGGTGTGTGGCAATCTAAATTGACATATACAGATGCCAGGTTCTACGTTGTGACGGTCCAACAGAAGATAGATGTAATGCATTTTTGAAGCTTAAATCAATAGTCGTGATCGGCTAAACAGCCGTCAGAATTTACATTGTAAGTTCACCAAGCCGCTTTATCCTAAATTGACGTGTACTTATATTTGAAGATATAAGGAAACGAGTGAAGAACATGAGAAAAAAAGGTGATCCGATCTCTCAATCAGCACATAAAATCCACTCATGTTTATTAATGAAACCAGTCTATAACAAATGTCAATAATAAGGGCTTGAGATTAAGGCAGTTTGACCAGCGAAACTGACGATTTTGAGAGTGAGAATTTGAATCTATTGCAGTGTAAACACCCTTCATTTTGTTTAATTAGAGAAAAATGCATAGAATAAATAGTTCCCTGATGCATCAGGGAACTCATATCTGTATGTATTAAGGTTAACTGTATTGTGTTTATTAACGTTCACATTCTGTTTCATTACAATACATTTTTATACCAAATAATAGAAATGATGGAATTTCACCATCGTTACTTTCAAACTTTTCGACTCAGTTATTTTTGAGTGATATAATCATTTATAGGTTTGTAGAAAATAGACGAAATAACGTTCGTACGCAAGCATAAATACACACGTTTAATAGTCTACATTCTTTTTACTTTTAGTATACATATTTAATGATTGTTTTTTGTCTCGTTTTTGCTTTCCCGCCTATCTACTAATGTTGTTATTGTGCATTTTTAAAACAATAAAAAGCTGACGCTTGCTGATATTGGTAATTGTACTAGTATATACTTCTAAATTTGTAACGATTATTTTGAATATTTTATTGGAAAATTAGTCGTTTATATGTGTTAAATTCAGACAGAGAAAGAGATGGTGATAGGTGAAAACGATATCCAAATCGCAGATTTCTGGTTCGTTTTTGTTTGTCGATCTTTTGCCTAATAATATGTATATCGTAAAAAGTTTGAATAATTGATTCATTGTCTGATAGATTACAACTTATGATACATAGTAGCTGTTTTATAGTAACAACAGGTTATTCCCTATGATAAGTAAAACATTTTGAAGAGAAAGATAGACACATTGTTAATCAGCATTTGGTAATTTACATTAGTGTAACGTATATGTAGAGAGATACCTGTGTATGTATGTGTGTGTTGTTTATTTTAGTTCTCGCTTCTCCATATTGCACTTAGTGGCCAGTTTACACATTACTTTATGATCACGAATATTCCATTTATATAATATCACTATCATTATATTGAAGAATGTGTAAGGAAAAACAAGTTTGTTATGATAATTTTTACATTAGTTTATCAGTGAATCTACATTGAACGTTATTTTCGTGTACCAAGATAGTAGTATAGAAAGTGAATTTCAATTAGGAAACCAAAAAAATATATTCATAAAAGTCATCAATAACCTAAGACAGTGACCATAAATTAAACCAAAAGGTTATTGTAGTATTACTTGTTTACTTTTTAAAATCACCATCCAGCTGCGTGGACAATGTTCGTGGGTGTAGTAGAGGGAAGCTGGAAGAAAGTTGAATGTGGCCAAATAATGACACCAGTTTATGAAGACATTAACCGTTAGACTGAATTCGACAGGTAGGTAAAGGTTACCTGTCTAAGATTTAAATGTTAATCATGACCAAGAGTTGCAGACTTAGTGATATAACCCAGTTTAAGTCACAGTATAACAGATCTATTCACTTTTTATCTTCCTTTAGATCTTTAAATTTATTTCTCCAATCACATTGTTCATATCTGTCGTTGCTACTTCTTCTGATCTCTGGCATCTACCTGGATAATTCTACCTCTCTGTGTATTGTAGTTGTGTGTCAGCTTGAATTGTATGTGCATCTGTGCTAAGTTCTGAGTTGTTTGTCACTGATTGTGACAACACTTGTCATTCTTTTTTAACAATCTATCTGCTTTTCTGATATGACAAAATAAGGCAGTGGAAAGCTTTCATAAATCAATCATGTTGATTTAGGTAAACTAATTGTCATGTTAAATTGAGTTGTGTATCTGCATATTCATTCTATCTGTGACTTAATAATTTTTCTCTTCATTAAGTTGTATCTCATTTGAGGCGTACATTGTGACAGAACCTCATTTAGTTACCATATGTATTTGTGTATGTTTTGTTAATTTGTTTCATCCACAGTCTTGGATTATTACTTCTAGAATAATGAAGGTCAGTTGATATATTTGTAATACAAACGTGAAATTAATCGTAATGATCATTGTCATGCTCAATTAATTTAAATAAAAGTTTATAATTGGTTCCATATTCCTCTGATTTATGTGTTACTATTTCAGAATTATTATGTATCCATTTTTTCATCCCCCCTAGGGTATTCGTGGTCTTGGACGCTTCTATTTTGAAGTAACTCCTATTGAATCTACTGGACTATGGCGAGTCGGTTGGTCAACAGATGATGGGAATTTAATTGTTGGCACAGATCAATATGGTTTCGGTTATGGTGCAGATAACGAAGGTTTCGGTTTGAATGGACAACAAGGAAAACGTATACATTGTGATGAAATTGAAAATTATGGTGAAGTATGTTACATTTTGTTTTTCTATGACAAATTATTTTAAGTATATATGAGAACTTTTTTTAAACTGACAGACTTCTGTAGTTTGAATCACGAATTGATTTTGGCTAGATTATCATTAAAAATCAGTAGACAACAGTTTCGTCGTAGAATGGAACTCATCAGAAGTCGACATCCACGACCTCGCTACCGGGAATCAAATCTAGGTCCTTCGATGTCGTGCATTTAAACCTAACTTCTAAACCAATAAATCGGTAGATAATGGTGTTCAATTCTACGTTCAATTAGTTTACAATATTGCACAACTGTTTCCTACACTGGAACAAAACATTTGTCCAATGCGTCTTGGTTTTCAACACGAAGTTAACCGAAGATCAGTTTGTTATTTAAACTATGAAAAGTAATTGTTTGTCTTTTCTTGATAACATATTTGCCCAAATTAATCAGAATTCCAAATGTTACAATCTAGATTTAAACAGAGTTCAGATAATGTATCAGATTTTATTTTATTATTGTTTCCCAGTTCAGTATCAAGAATGAATTCTTGACTGTTTGTTTTATTTTTCTGTCTACATAATTCCCATATTAAAAATAAACTGCATTCATCTGCGTGTCATCAATGAGCAACTATCCGCGTAATTTTCAAATATCTCACAAATTTTCGCAAAAATACTTTATAATTTGCTAAGCATTTCATACTGATTATTAGAAAATGCTGTACTTAATAGTTATCATTCATATATCTCCCTGTAACCACTACAGTTCTTATTACTTTATAGTTGTTTTCATGCTTCACTAACACTAAACGGAATTCCAATCTCCTTGATGTTATCGTATAACTTCACAATTTCCTGAATAAATACCTTCAGGGTTGATTTATATCAAGCTAGCAATGTTCTGAATTTCAGCTTACTTACGAGTTTCTTGAGTAACCAATTTTCGTTTGTACATTGGAGTCTACTACACCCGAGTTGTACTAATATGGACTCCAAAACAACTTCATGAAAAAATTTTATCCCCCCTCTGTTTCCTTGTATTTAAAGTGACTGCGAGAACGATTGGTCCAGTTTTTTCTATTCACTGTTTATATTACTTATAAATCTCCTTTGTTTCTCCTTTAATTGAATGTCAACTTCAAAATTATTAATGTTAGGCATTGTATGGCAACACATTAGAGTCAATGAACATATTATTATTATTTTACTGTCGATTTTATTGGCTTGTTTTTTCTCTGAATCCCTTTCATTATTGTCCATATTATGACTGTTACTTTTCAAAATCAACTCTTTCGTTTTGTTTTAGCAATTTCCTTTGCATGTTTATTTTGTAAAAAAAGGTTTACAATTATGTAGAAATGTATATTTGAATAATATCTGTACAGATTTTTGAATATTATTTATTTATGTATGGAATAGTGACAAAAAATGTATGTATTTACGTTTGCTTGTTTGTTTCTAAAGCAGTATTATTAATAAACATGTGCACATATACGCACACACACACTCAGGCATTTCAACTTATAATAATATTAATAATCATTATGCATAATCCATAATACTAATGATTTCTAATTAATTCACTATTGAATTTATTTACACTGTGGCCTGATAAGGTCTTTGTTAGTGAATGTTTTTTTTTAAAATTAATTGTTTACTTTGAATTGTTTGTCTTAGTTTTCATAGATTTTTATAGTTTTGTATTTTGAATCCTGCGAATATGAGTTAGAATAACATCCTGTGTATTGAACTCTAGGCAATTTTTACGGCATTTTACTCAACACTGTAATAGTTTAAAATAAGTCATTTACATAGTAGAATTATTCATGTAAAAGGTTTGTAGAATCGTAAAGTTTTAATGTGTTGGGTTACTAGTGACTACTTTCGAGTGGTAATCCCTGGAGTCATAGTGCGAAGCAGTAACCAGTAGTTCAGTTCAACAATATTGGACGAGTCAGTTATTGATTAATGACATTGGAATATAGTTGCGCGATTCCGTGGATTCATTTAACTTGAAGACTTAAACTGTCGAATACCGGCTCAGTGGTTCGGAGGCTAAGCGCTCTCCGTGAAACCTACAGGTCATTGGTTCGACTCCTAATTGGGTCGTGGAAACTGTTGAGTAGTCCCTCACTACGATGAAACAGCTAGTCAGGGATTTCCTGTTTTCAAATGTTATTTATGATTGGTCCTGAGTGCGAAATATGTTTTACGATAGCCTCTTTAATAGCCGGGTAGTCATATCTACAGTGGTTTAAATTTTGTAATTACGTTCCTCAAACTTCAACCTGGGCACCCAGATAGTGTTAGAAAGGTTTACCAATCTATAGCACTATCGACATGTCCTTCCTCTAATCGAGAGATATATTAGTCAAAAATGTTAAATTTACGCACCCAGGTATTGCATAAAGTTGGTAAATTGGTTAAAAAACTGCAAACCATTGTCGACCAATGTGCTGTAGCACAAAATCAACCACTCTACAATGGTGAACTGGCACAAGATTTTGCTAATTCGTTAGGAAGTGATCAAACAAAACGTGGCATCATTTCATAAAGTCATCGTCTATTGGTTTTAGCTAATACCGGGCTACAGGTCTTATATTTTGATTTCATTCAATGAACCTAATCACTGGTCAACTAACTATATTCTCTTATCTTTCTCTTCCTCTGCCTTTCCTTTTTAATATTTAGGCATTCTCTAAAGATGATGTGATCGGCTGCTTTTTGGATACGATTGAACACACTATTAAATGGTCAAAAAATGGTTTGGAATTTGGTGACGCTTATCGAATTCCATCTGAATTGTTACATTCTAAAAATTTGACAGCATTGTATCCAACTGTGTCCTTGTTGAATTCTACCGTGGAATTGAACTTTGGCGACAAACCATTTAAATATTATCCTGGGGTATGTCTTTGTTGTCAGTATTTAAGTTTTGTCTGATCAAAACCTCACAAATTCTTTTGAAGACAAACTCTACCTGTATTGTCGTCGCAGTCTTATCGAATTGAATAGTATACTTAACCCTCATATTTGGAGTGTTGTTCATACCCAAATATCAAGGTACTAGACTAACATGACATTGATTATTATTTATGATCAATCAATTCTAGATATCTTCATTCTCCAGGATGCTTGTTGGCCATCGAATAAGTTGACAGAAAAAACCTCCATATATAATTGTTTTGCGTGGAGGTGAATAAACTTCTTTTTTCGTCAATCATTCAATCTAGCCGAATAATTGAAATTTAAACACGATAAAATAAACTAGTTTTCGGGTAAAGAAATAAACATTCCACTAGAATTAATAATATATTGGATAAATAGTCAACAATCCGATTCAGGATGCTGTTTTTATCCGTTTTTTGGTTCTCCAGTTGAACGTACCTACTTCTCAGCCTTGAAACTCACTGCGATACTCGGATTCATTACTTATTTCTTTGAATACTTGATCATTATTCACCAAACTAACTATTAATCTGTGATAGCCATCAGCTTGTTCGACAGTTATGGTATTTGTAATGTTATTTTTAAAAGTTTTGTAGTTTCGTGTTCCTACTGTTTTTACTGCTAACTACCCATATCCAGAATCCAATCAACAGGCAATATTAAAACATCCATTCAGAGAGCTCATATATAGATACACATCTTGCTTGATAAAATACAATCGGACTCTAATCATTAACAACAAAAAAGCGCATTCGCTTTACAAATGATAATACTAACAATAAACAGTTTCACGTGATCACTAAATTCTCTGGAATAAATCACTTGATTTGAAGTATTTTCTCGATAAATTGATTTTAGATCTCTCATTAGTTGTTCTCTTATTTGTGAGGCTTTTTTTATTGATTGTGTTGACAAATAGGAGGAAGTGTATCAATATGTTTTAGTGGCTATCATTATTGTCACTTTACTGGATTTGTTTTCCTGATTGATTAATCATTGTCCAATCTATTTTATAAAAAAAATTTATATTTTTAAAGTTAAAAAAAATTCTATTTATGTGCGTAGTCAGTCAATCAATCATTATCATCTTAAAGACTGGTACATATGTGTGTTGACCCCAATTGTTATCATACAACTTTCGAAACATACACACGACTTGCTCTCATTATTAACAAACTACAATATTATTGATGAATAGTCTTTTTTTAAAAAGCGGAAAAGAAACAGAGGTCTTTCTTCATCAGTAGAAATGAACATTTTTTTTGTAGTGGGGTTTTTATATACCTGACTGGTTTTCTCCATGGGTGTTAATTCTTTTTTTTTCTTTGGTTTATTGCTTTAATTTGCTTTTCTTCCTTCCGGCCATTGGCGAAAAATGTGCAGAATGCGTGCATTCAAACGCCGAGCAACACACTTTTTAACTATTAGATAGTCGGAGGTAGTATAAAGGAAATTTTAGACCTAAGTTTCATCCCATTTGAAACTCGTCAGACACGTTTGCCTGTAGTACCGTGGGGGGCTACCACCTCGTGGCTTATCACTCAGCTTCACAAACTGGACGGAGATATTTATAACTGGTTGTTTACCGTTTTTCTACTCTTTTTAGTCTTAGTCAAGTTTTGTCGATGAAGTTGCATTGTAGCTACTAGTCTATCTAGCCTGACATCACGCGCAGCATGCTGAGATGTCCTACAGAAGGTCAGTCGCAATATAAATAACCTAGTGGTAACTAATCAGACTGTAAAACTGGGTGATAAATGGTAAGATTAGCCAAAAAGCATTAGTTCCCTCAATACTATATTACGTTCCACATAACATGAAACAGGTCTAAAATTTCCTGCTGACTACCTTTAACCACCTGACATTTCAACACGATACACGCAATGCCAAGTTACTTAGACTGTGGCGACCACTTCTCAACTTGACTGATGGAGTCTGAGCAGACAAACAACATTGTTCACGACTGAATGATCGATTAACTGTGCTTTCTATATTGTTTATATCTAAAATATAGATGAGGCTAATAGATTCTCGTTGTTGTTTTCATTGCAAACTATTTGTGTATTATTGCATAATATGCAAGCTGTGTTTGTTTTCTTCATACGCCCTCTAATGGATTATCTGTACACATTTTATTGCACAGCGACCAACAAAGCATCGTATTCTCTATAATTTCGGTAGTCTCACTTGTTTTTTTTTCTTTTAAACTGTTTAGCCTGATTGGACACCTGTATGCTGTGCTCCTCCTGAATGTACTAAACGTTCTAGACGTAAAGGTCCTGAAGTAAGTCATATATAAAATAGCCAATTAAATAGCTCAAACATTTTGGATTTCTACAAAATACAAAATATTTGATTGAACAACTATTAAAGACATAAATTACCTAAGATTCTGTCAGACAATTTATTTGTTATACATATCAGTTCTAATATCATTTCATCTCGCGGTGTATATGCACTATAAACACCGCGAGATGAAATGATATTAGAACTGATATGTATAACAAATAAATTGTCTGACAGAATCTTGGGTAATTTATGTCTTTAATAGTTGTTCAATCAAATATTTTGTAGAAATCCAAAATGTTTGCGCTATTTAATTGGCTATTTTTTTTACTTATATGGCGTTATTCATTGAACAACTTGGCAGATATAATGAATTATTCATTTTTCATTATTGTTATCTTTATCATTCGTTGACAAAGTCTATTACTATCTAGTCACCACATTTTCGAAAGGAAATTAAACAAACTCGACTATCTAACAATGGAAAATGGTAACTAGTAGGACCAGCTAAAAGTTTTGCGTCCGATTGATTTAAAATCATACCATGGTCTACCATTGATTGTATATTTACGTCTATCAATTTTGAGTACATAAATTGTTTTTTCCACCGAATATTTGTTACGGTGATAATCATCATCATCATGAAGTTTCTGAGGCATAAAATGATGCGTGTAGAAATGCATCTTCATGGACAACAGCACTTTTAATGTATAGGTTTATTGACGGTATATACAAAGTAATAGACATCAATATTGTAAGTAATATAGTTATGTCTGATAAATAGTGTATGAAAAGCAATAAATACTTTAATAAAATGACATATCCATAGTGTTATGTGGTGTTATAGTCACGAAATATTTGTATATCAATGTTTTCGTCATGTGAGAATTGCAAGGCGACACACATAGGAGCATCTAAAACATGGAAGAAGGAATGTAGGAAAAAAATTTCCTAATGTGTGTGATATAAGGTTATGGTAGCGAATTTGTTTCACGCAATATAGTGTGTCAGACGGTTTCGTATGCTCAACGAGAAAGTATGTGTATGAGTGGATTTAAAACCACGAATCATGTTTACTAGTGATATTCAGTTACGATAACTCGGCTATTTCACAGACTGAATTGCATTACTTAAATATAGAAGATAATCTACTTAGTATCTTGAAGAAAATGGTTACCGTTTACATAAAACTTCAACTCTTAGCTTAATACATCTGAATTTGTAGTGTGTGAGGTTAAGCTTAATGTCTGTTTATAATTATTATTTCTAATAACAATCTCTACAACCTTTCACTCAAGAGAAAAATTCTAGAGTTCTAGTGAGAAACCTTGACCAGTGGGGCAAAACTGTGTCAAGAGTGTAAAAGGTGCTCAGCGGGAACAATGAATGATAGTCGCACAATATCGTAGGTTGATCGAAGTTATATTTGTGCATCGTTGGATACCGGCTCAGTGGTCTGAAGTTTAAGCTTTCATGTACAAGATCGAAGGTCCTGGATTCGACTCCTGCGTGCGGAATCGTGGATGCACACTGCCGAGGAGTCCTATACTAGGATGAAACAGCCGTCCAGTTCTTCCAGGTTTTCATTGTTGATCCAGCTAAGACGTCGTTTCATGTTTTCAGTGAAGTAATAATTCACTTTATCAGCAATACTATGCCAACATACGATTACATACTAGGCAATAAACAACACCGTACATTATAAATAATGTCTCCCCCGTAGACATTCTCAGTTGATTTCTCTGTGCTAATGGGACATAGCGACTTAAGCCGATGTACACATATGTTATGTGCTGCGTTACGACTAAATGACTTGCTTGAATTGTAGTTGTATCTATTACTTTTCGAGCTTGGGTCTTTTTTGTTGTTTTCTATTGAGTAATAGTAACCTGGACAATATGACCTTCATTCATCTGATTTTTATTATGTAGCATTATTGTTACTTGATTGATTAGTGCGTTTCTCCGTTTCTGTTTCAAATATTTAATTGAACTCTTATTCTCTTTATCAATCTACTTGATTTTTTATTCAACACATATGTGTATATACAGCGGAAAGTGAAGGGGTGGTCATATATTGATCCGACTATTTTAGAACCATCAATTCGACAAACAATGCAGGTTAGTTGCATTAATTGATTTTGCTTATTGGTTTCGCTGTTATTGTTGGCGACCGTTGATGAATAATGGTGTTTATAATAATAATAATAATTATTATTATTATTATTATTATTATTATTATAATTATTATTATTATTATTATTATTATTGCTAGACTCCAGTTTAAATGTGTCATCTGTGTTTACATAAGTGCGTTTTGTTCTAACCTACCACCTACTTACGTGGATTGAAAAACGATGAGAATCGTGCATATAATTAAAGATGTTTACTAATTTTCTCTCAATGTGTCCTTTCTCATTGCTGTTGTGACCAGTGTTCCCGCCTTTTCTTCTTTTCACTGGTACTTTATTTTGTTTTCATTTGTGCATCTGTTTCTATGTATGACCTGTGGCCTTTGTGAAGATATGCACGATTGAAATGTCGTCTGTTATATCTTCAAATAAACAATTTGACGGGACAAAAACAACAACACTAACTAATCTGAAATGTACACACACTTTTTCAATCTATTGAAGATGTGTTCTTTTAGAATATATCCATAAGCCATTGTTTACTTTTCCGTTTTAATCTGAAATGTTTGAAACTAGTTTAGTGAAGAGATTATATATTAATTGTATCATTTATTCTTTGAAAATAGATGTTACTCATTTGTTTGTTTTGTCTTAAATACACAACTATTTGTTTAAATCCAATTTAGCCGTCAAAGCAATGTAGCCATAGGTTCAACATCAAATTAAGTTATTAACGAATAACGGAAATAGTCATCATTGTTGTATCTCGATTGGGTTACCATTGAAAACTGGGGAACACTGGTGGACAGCTGTTCCTTCCTAGTATTGGGACTCACTAGATGTGGGCATCTACAACCTCGTCAAGGATCAGACCCGAGTCTTCAGCTCTTGCAGTGAATTCTTAATGAGTTGAATCGCAGTCTTTTGGTGACATTTGTTTTTACTCCGGATGTATCTGAACTCAACTACTGGTTATAGCTCTCCACCAAAAATTCGGGAACACCTGAAAGTCACTTGTGAGATGATCCCCCAAAGAAGATCAAGTTATGACAAATATAACCTACGAATTAAACTAATCTCCTTAAAACCTATTTCAGAATAAATAGAAGAGCTATTGTATGGTTTTCTTATTCTCCTTTAAGATTGCACATATCTACGCTCAATCATACACATGATATTGAATTCAACAGACCTTCAGTGTTGTTTAGTACACAGAGCACATTTTGTTAGATTTAACTACTGATCCAATGTCTGACAGTAAGAAACGGAAGATGAAAAACTGTTATACATGTTTGTCTGATATCCATGGTCCAAAGAACACTACTGTCTATCAGAAATGTTAACTAAACAAAAATGTAAGAATTCTGATGTGTACACATTTTGTCAGTTTAGTTTCCCAACATTTATGTCTTCATGTATTTTGGTCAAAATGACTTGCTAGAAAAGGAAATTTATAGTTCAGTTACTTCGATGATAATTTTTGTTGAGTGTTATACTCTTTAACTGGATGAAGTGCTCATAGTTATGAAAAATTTTCATTGTTGTTCTAATTGATATAATTACTATCATCCCGCCTTAATTTGAGTGAGCTTTTAAAAACGATTTGTTTCACAAGCACAAAATCTACGCGTTATGATGTTTGCGTTTGTGGATAGTTACCACTGCCAGTTTACTAATCTTCATTTGTTCTTGTTTGCTTTCCATTTAAGAATTCCAGAGAAGGACATTTAATTGTTGTTTCCACCCCATATATTTGGGACTCATCAATAGCTTGGACTCCAACTACGCCGCTAAAGATCAAACCCCTTGAATGCTTGTGATAGGCTCTTTACTAACATATTATTCCACTCACCCTGTTGATATCCTATGGCTTACATTCACAATTTTTAGCAGTTCGTAATATTGCGGATGTACATTGGACAACTATTTAGCGATTCGTGGTCTTCAATAATTACCTATCTTTTAATACAAAATCTAGGCACCAAAAATATACTCATCCCGCAAACAGAACGATAGTATTGGGAAGAAATAAAGGAGCCTAGTGTAGTATAAACAGAAAAGCACAAATGAACATGAATGAATGGTGCCAAATAGAAGATACAGTTAAAAAAATCAGCTAGTAAAAACTTCCGGTTGATGAAACTCATCTCATTTTGATAAATAACGCAAAAGAAAACTGTTGTAGGGCGGTCATTAGTTTATATTCGGAATCTTGTCTGATAATGTCGCCAACCCTTGAGTTGCACCATTTATAGGATACTGTCCAGTATAGTTGTCGTGATCTGGCAAATGCCAGTTCTACGCAGCTTTTTTACATACCGCGAGGCCGTTTCACAAACCGTCCACCTCTCCATTTTTCTCAACCAATTTAACATCTATCAATCTCGACAATCACCTTCCCATCCCTTATTGATTTACAGTGTGTTTATTTCACTTCTATGCAGACCTCTAAAATTTCTCCCACTATAACTAGTTTCTAAATTCAACTATGTACCGGCCATTTTTTATTGTTGTTTCAATTTGAATGAGATTCCAGACAAGGTCAACATACTTTTTATATCACATGATATATAAATAAATAAAGTCTTGTTTTACACAGACTAGACAACTTTTAATTTATATAAGCCACATTGATTTTATTTGTAGTTAGTGTCCTGTCTTTTTTTGGTGGGTAGTAATCCTAGATTCTCATGTTTTACAGAACAGAACGTGCTCCTATTTTATTAAGTCAATTTGAATGTTTTACCTTGTGTTTTATCTCTTGATCAGTGTTGCGTTCATTAATCATCGGAACATTCAGTAGTAGTAGTAATGGTAATAATATGTTTGAAGTGGTCGAGCGGTAATAATCCACCTCAAATAATGTATAATAGTCAATATCTGACTGACAAACTTGTTGAATACTTTACATCTCCATCTCCTTTCTATATCTTATTAACCTAGTAACCATGATAATTAGATGTCAAAATGACTTGTACTGGATGCATAACAATATGTGTATGTGTACATACGCAGGTGTGAAAAGAACATAACGAAGCGTAAATATACCGACAGAGAGATGGATAACGATTCGTTTGGCTTCACTTTCCTTTCCATCCATTGTTTTCATCTATGTTAATGTAAAGTTTCGAATTGTATTGGTAATAGCAGTAGTAGTCGAGGTATTAACATATTAGTATTTAACAAACAATTATTATCTATCTAATTTCTTTACTTACCTATCTTTAATCTACTTTTTTTCTCATTTATACCTGCTGAGTATTCATACGCACATTGATTTACGTGTACATGCCAAATACTGGTAGCATAATGATGTATTGACATGGCAGTTTCCACCTAATAATAATATATTGTTGTGTTGTTGATTTAGTTAAGAAAACTGACAACCACACCTTTTCAATATTTTGTGACTGTATAATTATTGTCTATCGACGATTTGTAATATAAGTATTTCAAACTTGCGCTGTTTGCTCATATAGCAGTTTGTGCATGCATGTTGTTGTTACTACTGCTATTCACTTGGAAGCAATATAAACATCACTCATGTCTGGTATCGTGTGTGATGTTATTTCTTATATATATTATAATGATAATACTTACTCTTATAGCATTTTATCTTCCTATTTCTTTCTCATTTTATGTCATGCAAATTCACTTACTCTCGTGAATTAATGAATGCTTAGGTTAGTAATGAGTCATTTCTCATTGATTCATTCACTCATTCATATGATTATTTTTTCATACACATAGTTCCCTTCATCATTTTAAAAAGAGCAAGAACAAAGGTTTGAGCAGAATAACATGAATTTATTTCATTTCGTTAGGTTCTAATCAGCTACTTACAACCTAAAATATTTGAAATTCAAAGTTATTATAGATACTGACATACTTATACAACAGAGGGCATTGAAGGATGAATATATGTAACATAATGTAGCAAAGATTTCGTTAGAGTTAGTGAGGTCATAAAATTTTGTTTCGAATATATAGAGTTTGGGAGGGAAAGTTCCAGAAAATTGAGATAGTGATTAGAAATCATGGAATTAAAACACATCAGACGATTATGTAATGAAGTAACTGAAAATAGATTAATGTTATTTTTGTTTATATTCGTGCTTATTTTCAATTTTCTATCTCTCTACTTCGCACCTTTAACTTTGCTTTGTTGCTGCTGTATCCTGTATGACGACAACTATCTTTTTTCTATATTCAATAAAAGTGTGATATCTACCATTTTCTTCACTCATTTGAGGTGTCATTGCTGTGTATGAAGGCATGATTTCCATGGAAGCTTTTATTTTAATCATTAAAACCTGTTTCAGCATATCTTCTATGAATACGACACTAGTGCATCCCAACTTATTGTATGGAAACAAGTAAATTAAGCAAACGTTGGAATCTGAAACGAAATTCTCAATGAAAATTATGCTTTTGTACACAGCATTCACTCACTAAATGAACAAATAGATGCTAGATATTCCACACATATTAAACATTAAAAGTTGAATGCACTACAAATTCATAGACACGGATCCTGTCCTGTTCTCAGTTATCTACTAAGGTAAGTACATGAACGATCTTAAAAAGTAAACAAAGAAACTCATTCACTACTTCTGTATTTGATCTAATACACAATGCTCAATAAGAATATGCATGGAAAACCCAAATTCGTATCTATCGGTTTTATTGTATACGTTTCGTGTTGATGAAAACAGTTTTGGACCTTAATTGTCTCTATTTTATCTCAGTTCTTGCACGTCATAGACGTTGAAATCATATATCATTGAACTTCACCTTAATGATTCTAACCATGATTATACTTACACCATAAAAGCACCTAACTTTTATCCCCTAGTACAGTCGTAGATATACAATGCTGATGAGCTTTATACATTAAACAGCTGTTCAGTGCTCCGTTCTGCTTTTCAGTAGTAATTTAACTGAGATGAATCTGTAACGAATACAAAATACAAATTAAACGAATCTTCG